TTGATCGTGTGAACTTTTGCCGGAATTACTTTTTGTGTCCCCCGAATTCTCGATCGGTGTTTTCGATCAACTCGTTTTTCTATTTTCTTTATAATCCCTGCATTTATCAGGAATATTATAATTGATTTAGTCGTTTTGCCTTGTCTTGTAACATTTCATTTGACCTAAAAATAAATAAATACATTGGTTCTGGTGTTTAATGTCGTCTAGCTGCTAGATGAAACAAAATGGATTGTTATTACGGTTATGTGGATTTGGAATGGCGATCTTTCAAATCTAATAACGCATGTGAAGAAAATAAATTCTGTAAAATTACTGAGGTGAACGACTTTGACCTATTGTGGTAGGACGTATATACACACCACACACACAGATATACTGTTGCGAACGAGAGAAGACGGACCTATTGTGGTAGGACGTACATACACACCACACACACACAGATAAACTGTTGCGAACGAGAGAAGACGGACCTATTGTGGTAGGACGTACATACACACCACACACACACAGATAAACTGTTGCGAACGAGAGAAGACGGAAATATTGTGGTAGGACGTACATACACACCACACACACAGATAAACTGTTGCGAACGAGAGAAGACGGACCTATTGTGGTAGGACGTACATACACACCACACACACACAGATAAACTGTTGCGAACGAGAGAAGACGGAAATATTGTGGTAGGACGTACATACACACCACACACACAGATAAACTGTTGCGAACGAGAGAAGACGGACCTATTGTGGTAGGACGTACATACACACCACACACACACAGATAAACTGTTGCGAACCTTAGAAGACGGACCTATTGTGGTAGGACGTGTACACACACAACACTTAGGTACACACAGAAAGGCTATTTCCTCAACAGTGATACATTTCCCTTGTGTAGGAATGGTGTCGGCGCTGGATGAAGGCGTTGGCAACGTCACGGCGGCTTTGGAGGAGCGAGGCACTCTCATACTGTTGCTGAGTTGAAGATTGCTGGATTGAAGATGTAGCATTGTATAAAGAATTGATGGTTTGATGTGGAAGACGTCTTGGCCCTTGGGTGCAGATGAAGCCTTCTACATATCAAAGACTTCATTCGACATCACCACGGAGATGATGCTACAAGTGACATCAATACGTCACCTTATGAAAGAGCAAGAAGTAGCTCTGAAACGTCATGACAAAGAATAAAAGAAGTTGCTATCCATGAAACATGTCATGTATTCGTACCTCGATATTGATGTCATACTGTCGTATTTTGTTTATTGTGTATTTATATGAATTTGAGGATGCGTCTCTAATTATCCCTCGGCAAAAACAATTCTTCTTTCTTTCACCATCTTCTTTTGAAATGATGAATAGGTCAAACTTCAAGCAGATGGTCTGAACCACACTAGGGTTGGTTATATTCAGTAATTTACAGATGCTTGAATATCACTCGTCAATTACATTTAATTTTAATGTTGTTGAGTTGTGCTTTTACAGAACGGACCCGACGTGCGTTTCCATGGGGGACAGCCTTCCTCTGAGGGGAGCGAAGTTTTCAGTCTGGGAAGGCGGTCACCGATTCGTCAGTTTTCTGCACCCTTAGTGATGGTACGGACCACTGGTGCCAAACTTTAAGATATCCTTACGTCAGTCGTAGATGTAAGATCTGTGGAGGTTGATGTCGTTACTGAAGACGTCTCTGTTGCAGGTTGGTGCACGTCGTGGACTGGCGGCCGACTCTGGTGGCGGCGGCGGGAGTTAGAAGGACACCAGGTGAGGCAGATCGAGTTCTAGAATATGATGTCTTGCACGACTGTAGAATGTTCAATGGTTCTTTGTAAAATAGAGATGTTTGGTAGGGCATGACAATCTCACACAGTTTGCAAACGGTAGGGGACTTATTGACTTCAGACGTTCCACTGTATCTCTTCTTTGTCCAAAGGAAATGAGTGTGTGAGTGTTGTTTTACAGGGCTTTTGTCGCATTAATCACGGCGGGGGACACCAGATATGGACTTCACACATTGTACCCATGTCGGGAATCGTACCCGGGTCTTCGGCGTGACGACCTAAGTCTTTAACCACTATGCTACCCCACTGCCGCTCCAAGGAAATGAGACCCGCACCGCGTGGTTTCGGTGACCTCAATTCTCGTGCCACCAGTGTGACACAAAGCAGTCTCAAGAACACTTTCACAGATCATTCCCTGAGTTTGATCATAGTATCTCTACTGTATTGTTCCAAGAATGGGGCGGTCGGGTTGCCTAGCGGTTAAAGCGTTCGCTTGTTAGGCCGATGACATGGGTACAGCTGTATGACCTGGAGGGTAAGACGGCTTGACACAGCAGCTGTATGACCTGAGGGTTAAGAAGGCTTGACACAGAGCAGCTGTATAACCTGAGAGGTAAGAAGGCCTAATACAGAGCAGCTGTATAACTTGAGAGGTAAGAAGGCTTGGCACAGAGCAGCTGTAGAACCTGAGAGGTAGGAAGGCTTGACACAGCAGCTGTATGACCAGAGAGGTAAGAAGGCTTAAAACACAACAGCTGTAGCTACATAACCTAAGGGTAAGAAGACTTAAAACAACAGCTGAATGACCAGGGCCTAGATTTTTTAAACGATCTTAGCCCTAAGTAAAGTTATCGTAAGGAAATCGTAGGGTATCGTAGCATATTTTCAAAACGATATCTTAAGTTTGTCGTAAATCTAAGATAGCCCTATACCTGTCGTAAGTCTATTTTATCTTCATCCAAGATGGCGGCATACTTTGCTCTGGACATTTTTCATGATGAAGAGGATGATGATTTGATAACAAGGCCGAGGATATTCCGAGACAGAACTCGTCGCCTCGATACGCTTGACGACTCCGAGCTATTCTCCCGCTACAGAATGCATCGCCAGGCGATATTCAACTTAACTTAACTGTCCTTTTATCTAGCGACACACTGAGCGTTCCCGTCCCCTCACACCCGAGATCCAAGTGCTTGTGACACTAAGATTTTTATCTGAGGGTTGTTTTCAGTCGGCGGACATGCATGGCATCACACAATCAAGTGTGTCAGCGTGCATTCGTGACACAATTGCTGCCTTATGCAGCTCTTTGAATTCCATAAAATTCCCCAATGACGCTACCTCAAAAAGACGCGTGAAAGAAACTTTTTATAAAATAGCCGGCTTTCACAATGTTTTGGGATGTGTGGACGGCACACTTGTCCCCACCAAGCGACCTCCGGCCAATGAGGAAGTGGCATACGTCAGTCGGAAAGGCTACCATGCCATAAATATCCAAGGTATATGTGATGCCGAGCTACGGTGTGAATAAATAAAACAAAAATACATGTACAGTGTCATATACTTATGTAAAAGATACAAAACATTGAATACCTTGCGCTTTCACACCCGGCCTTGACATTTACACTCAACGCCACCTAGGTCACGATTACACCAATGAAAATGAGAGAGCCTGTAAAGGTTGACGTTTTGTATACATATGGGGCACCTTTGAGGATATTTGAAGAACGTTATGTTTGAATTAAACGCAATAAAATTGAAATTTGATACTTAACATCCAAATTAGCGATGTTAACATAATAGGAAAACAATGCTAAACCACAATTTGTAATTGTGCCGTTCAATATATAAATAGAGAGAGCATAGGTTATGAAACTGTGAAATCAATGAAGCCCCCTCCAAAAAATCTTCACATTTATTTTTTTTGCTCAGCCTTGTGTCAAAACAAAATATATATTTCTGTAATACTACTGTGCCGAAAATGTGTCAACTTTATCAGCATATTAATTATGTTCACACTGACATGTGTTTAAAGATACTATGTTTTTTAATTAAAAATGTTTTATTTAAAAGATATGCTACATAAATAGTAATATTGTAAAAGATGTGAAGTACAATTAATTATTTAAAGAGATTGGGAACCAAGTAATAATAGCAAAAAGGTTAAAGTACTTATTTCAAGGAGAAAACATTCCTTCATAATTTTTCAGATTTTTGAACATTGTGTGCAAGTGGCCAGGATCTACCCATGATGCATTTATGTTGACCAACAGTCAGATCGGCATTGCCATGGAAAACCATCACCTGGGAGGGGGTTGCTTGGCGATTCCGTGTAATGATATTATTCATGGCTTTTAACAATATAATAGTGACAAATTGGCAAAATGCAAGTATGTATCAAGTTGATTTATTGAAAGATATATTTTAAATATTAAAAAATATAGATTAATTCGACATTTCCTTCCCAGTTACGCTTGCAGACCTTGGATAATTACACCAGTTGCACATCCCCAGAACAGATCTGAGGAAAAATTCAACTCTGCCAACTGCTGGACTCGGAATACAGTGGAGATAGCTTTTGGCCTCCTGAAATCACGATTTCGGTTAGATGACCTTATAGAAACGTTATAGAAATAATTCAAATAAATCAAATTATAGTTTGAATAAATAAGTTCACAAGCAGTTGATGTGATGTATAAAGTAACCAGGAAATTGTTTTTAATAACATTGATTCTTCAGTGGTTTCAGTTCAAATAATATTCAAAGACATTTATAACTTGTAATTTCTCAAATAATTATGATCATAGGACTAATAAACATTGCTATATACTATTTGCAGTTGTCTCCACAAATCAACTGGCAGTCTCTGGTGTGGGGTAAAACAGTGTCACAGGATTGTGTATGTTGCAGCCCAGCTGCACAATTACTGTATTGACAAGCATATCCCTCCACCCCCAAATGCAGATGATGAGGATATGGATGGTGTTATTAAAGTTGGTTGTTATCTTTTAAGTTGAGCACCACATATCAATCATTATGTAAGTTATAATGCCCCAATACAATCAAAAGTTAAATGTTACAGAAAATGTTAGCTTCTCTTTTTTACATTTATATTATATTAAAATTTGAAACAAAACATCACCCACTTATCTTAATGGCATCATTTATTTTCAAAATAACAACAACTTATGAAACATATGTACATGTGATAGGCTGTACATATTTTACAAGTAATAGGCTACACACAGTGGAGCCTTGACAGTGATCTAATAGAAATTGATAATGGGTGACAAACTTTTGTCAGCATAAATATTTCTCAGAATTGACATTTTTCTTCTTCTTCCAATTGCAGCTTCCTCCTCTCCACATCAACCAATTCATTTTGTGCTCTCAAAATTCCCTCCAATACCTCCAGTTGTTCCTCCTCGATTTGGATGATCTGACCTTTAGGTTTCCCTGGGACAAGAATAGTTTGATCAGTTGCAATTGTAATGAAATATTTAAATTAATACTGAAATGTTTACTAAATGACACATGAGAAATATCTTATGTTTACAATTTGTCTTACGAATCTTGAAACATGGCAAATACAAAAACTTTAATCTCTCAATGTTATATTTCTAATACTACCCACCCGAGGCAACTGATTGTGGCAGACTTTTGGCACTTACTGCTGTTTGTGGCACAGAGGAGCAACCACTCACATGATCTTCTGTAACAAATCACCATCATAATCATCATAATAATCATCATCATCATCCACAGTTATGGAATAGTATGTTGAAAAATCATTGCTCACACCTATTCTCTTCCATATTAGCATATTTGCATATCTTTCATTCATACAGCTATCCTTGACTAATCACGTCAATTGAATGTGTATAATTTAAAACAAAATTTGACTGCTATTTTCGTCATAATGCTGCTGCTGTATAAACGTATTGTTCTGTTGTATATACATGTCTCCACTGGATGAATATACTTGATTTATGTTTCTCATAACAAACTGTTTGAAATGAAGCAGTCAGACTTCAGAAATTACTGAAAAATACAAAAAAAGTAAGAATAATACAAAGGCACAGGAACAATGAAGTATTGTCAGCAATTTAAATTTTGACTTCTTATATCTATTAAATATGTTATCAATCAAGAATCCAAAGTTTTAAATAAATAAGACCAAAAACATCAAAATGCTCGGCCATATTCAGCGGATGGTCACCAGACACGCGTACTACTAAAATGTAGATTACAAAACATTATAAATATAATTCCAGAATAATCAATAATAATAAAAACACCAACTTAAGTATTTTTTTACAAATAGTATATGCAACATTGTTTGTCATAAATAGCAAATGGTTTTACTTTTCCATTGTAAAACATAATACATAATATGTCCTAAATAACATCTTAATGTACTTACATTCTTCACTTTCCATTCCGCCCTCACATCCCTCTATTTGGCATGGTGGTATCAGTGACACAATCTTAAAGCCCAAATACAACATTTATTCTTTTCATTGTATTCTTTTTACACACATAACTCATTTTGTTTCATACATAACCTTATTTAGGATGTAAATTTGAATGTTGTAACCTGTTTATCCAGTTGTTAATATCATATATAATAACATATACTGAATTGTATGCATTACCATAAAACAACTATTACATACCATTTGTTCAACATGGTTAAGATCTTCCATTGGTGGAGGCCCACCTCCTGTTTTCGTCTTCTTCCTTTTTTGACTCGCTGCTCGTTTCCTTGTTTGACTTCTTGAAAAGAAACAATATGATCAAAATCGTTATACATTAATGTTTCATGTAATGAGTCAATAGCAGCTGCAAGATCCAAAAATAATTATCTTAGTAGAATTTAACATCAAAATCTAACATTGCATTACTTCATGCCTGTCCACTTCTTTTTAACTTCCATCCAATCCCTCTTGGAAGCACTGTTTGAGTTTATCCTGCAAAAAACAACATTTTCATAGGTCACAGTTCTGAGTTTATTTCCAATTACAATATTAATTTCTTAACAGTGTTTTTTGTTATATTTTATATTTATTTTTATTTGGATTTAGATCAACTCTCATTATAAAACACACAATATTTAAACCAAAAAGATGTAAATCAAAGGATATAAAATACAATATTACAACAACAAAATACATGCATTTTCGGTGCACTTGCTTTTCTATCTCCAACACAAATTAGTTCTCTGTCAGAGTTACGATAGGTATCGTAGCTCTGAGCGATCTGCGACAGGTTTACGATAGTTTCGAAAATCTATCTTATCTTAACCTTAAGATATCTTATCTTTGAACGTAAGTTGTTAAGATTTATCTTAGCTAAGATCATTTAAAAAATCTAGGCCCTGAGAGTGAAGAAGGCTTAACACAACATCTGTATCATCTGAGGGGTAAGAAGGCTTGACAAAGCAGCTGTATGACCTGAGAGATAAGAAGGCTTCACACAACAGCTGTAGCTGTATAACCTGAGAGGTAAGAAGGCTTGACATAGCAGATGTATAACTTGAGAGGTAAAGAGGATTATCACTGAACAGCTGTCGAACTTGATGAGTATACAGAGAGAGCTTTAAACCCATGGACAAAGTACTCCACATGAAATTGAGGTTCATTAGGTATACAGCTTTACTTACCCCAGACGCTTTGTCTTGTCGTGGAAACCATTCTAGATAAGCAGTACATTTCTGTGATGAAAAGATTCATTTGTATTGTAAATAACGTCCAGTTATTTACAGCATTTATGATTGACATGTATCTACTGTGTTTTCAAGTTAACCTGAAACTTCAACATCGCAGACACAAAGGGATTATCTCCTAATCCCCTCTCTTGAATCGTGCTGTTGTTTCAGGGGACCCCACAGAGCGGAGGAACATAGCCCTGCAGGAGCCCGAGGTGGTCGCTAAGCTGAAACTCAAGATTAACCAGTACCGTAATTTGATGGTCCCTGACAATGTTCACCATCAGCTGAACCAGTTCTCCACGGCGGCGTGTGGTCCCCAGGATGGTGCTGATATCACCATTTCCCATAAAGTCTCCTGATGTCCTGTCCCCCGATACATAGTCCCTGATGTCCCTTGTGAGTCTCTGGTGGCCCTGAAATATGTTCTTGGTGTCATCTGATATCCCCGGTGCGTTCGTATGGCCTGCCCCCTATAGGCCCAGATGACCTAGTCCCTGTTGACGTATGTTCCTGGTGCCATCTGATATCCCCGATGCCTTCTCATGACCTGCCCCCTATAGCCCCAGATGACCTAGATCCTGTTGACGTATGTTCTTGGTGTCATCTGATATCCCCGATGTCTTCTCATGACCGACCCCCTATAGCTCCAGATGACCTGGTTCCTGATGACGTATGTTCTTGGAGTCATCTGATATCCCCGATGTCTTCTCATGGCCGGCCCCTGATGGCCTAATGACCCTGGAAACCCCTGCTCATTATGCACTGAGACAAGCGTGGGCCTTCTGTTGAGCGAGATAAAGATGTCTAGAGAGGGAAAATGGACCTACTGTCCTGTTTGTCCCCGAATAAAAGCGATACTGTTTGAACATGAAAGACTTGTACGTTTATATCAAATAGTGGATCACTCCAACTCAGGCGAGCCCCGTGTTCATCTCCCCCCGTTTCTGTGGTCGTGCACGCACGCACTCACAGTCATACGCACACGCACACACAAGCTCTGTCACCGAATGTGGGTCATTGAATGAGTAAATGATCCATCTTGCAATACTCCAGATTCAAGACACGGAACACGAATATAATAAACGCGCTGTAGCCTGACAAAGGCATAAGGATCTGTACAGAAACGACGCATCATTATGGAATCAAGTTGCCATCCCTAAAATATTTTGTCTTAACTGTAATTTACAAACTTGCTAAAATGCCAATCAAACAGTTCAAGAACAAACACGATAGAGATCGGATTGGACATAGGGCACAGCTGTGTATATTAATACTATGTTTTGCTCTTATATGAGATATGAAGATTATGTACACTCTCTGCAAGGATGATGATAACATGTGCCAGCTTTAAAACTACTTACCCGTATTTAAAGAATGATGACTCCCTCAGTATATACAGGCGGTTATTTCCCGTATATTCTTACAATCCTCTGGTCGATTACCTGTACCTTAGCTTTTCTCCCATACCGATTGTCATATCTCTCCCGCTAATGGATGCGATCGGTCGGCCATGGCTTTTATCTGCGTAGCCCAGCTACATCTGTGGGGAACAACTCACTTGACACTCCAATCTGAAAGGAACGTCCAATATACGACGTCATCAAGTTACGTGTGAGTGAGTGAGTGAGTTGGGTTTACGCCGCTTTTAACAGTATTCCAGTTATATCACGGCGTGTCAGCTTAATATGGGAGGGATGCAGGTCTCAGACGTTTACCACTTCGGTGAAACCCACGAGCACGGGTATGGTGCTGACAAAACCTAGAAACATAATCGGGGCGAACCGGGATAATCATAGGTTTCTGGCGTGTCCAGGGGACGCAACTCTGCACAACGAATCGCTCATCAAGTTGCGAGCGCATATTCGAATCTCAAGAAATGACGTCATCAAAGGACAATGTTTTATCGTTCTTCATTATGCGGTGATATATATATACTACTCAAAAGAAGTTAAGGATCACCCGATTCTTTCATATTGGTAATGTTAATCTGTCATAGCATGTGGGATTAACTATTGTAATATGAAAGAATCAGGTGATCCTTAACTTCTTTTGAGTAGTATATATTAAGTATCGGATGCTGTGGCTCAAAATATAAAATGGTGTGACTATGGATTCATGGAAACAAATCATGTAATTATTTAGTGTTTTGAATAAATTCAGGCGTCCTTAATATGTACAAATGTGAAAGAGAATTTACAAAAGTATACCATTGCAGATTGACCGAGCGTCCGGTGATCAACAAACAGTGGGTAGTCCAAGCCGAGCCTGTGAAACGAGGGAGACAACTTTGGATGCGCCACACAAAGTGTGGATAATCGAGACCAGGACATTTTCAATTAAATACAAAAGCGGCTTGGACAACGTGATCAAATGTTTGTTTGAAAATGAACTTTTGGAAAGATACAATGACGATGAAGAAAACTGAACGAAGACGAACACAACCCCGCCCAACCAACGTGGAGACAGTTTGTTGGACACCCATCAGGTAATGCTCACTTTACTCCAGTCTATAACACGTCACGTGGTCATTCTGGAAACCCATTTGTCGAGAAACTCTCTCAACTATGGCCAGTCTCAATTAAGAATTGAACGTCAGTTTCATGGGTTCATTGAAATGTGAGCCATTTAAAAGCGCTAGTTAAACTGTGTGAACCTCCGAGCTTTACGAACATGAAAGTTTAACCAGCGCTTTTAAATGGTTCACACTTCAATGAACCCATCCAAACTAACCTTCAAACCTTATAATTTCATACTTTGTAGTTTACTGGTATCGCTGAATAATATCGTAACACTGTTTGCTTAAGTCCTCAGGTTTCGCCGGAGAACTTTGCAACAATGTTATTTTGTCGGTATTTGCCTGCTCGCGGTCACAAGCATTTCCCCATTCATACTCAGTTACGCAAAGACAAATAGTTCTTTTTAGATATACAACATAATCTGAATATATGTCAACATCAACATAATTTTATTCTCCGAACAAATTGACAGACAATATTTGGGATTAATCAAATCTTAAAAATAGGTGATAGGCAAGTGAACGCAAATATAAACATGACCTCTATACACCGAGGCGAGGTCAACCTTTAAGCGCGGATTTATATATGACGTTACCTAAGTTTGTAAAAAGGTGCATTTCGAGTCGAGCGGGAGCATGAGGATGAAATTTATACTTACTGCTGTTGAAAATGAAGTTTATGGAACAGTTATGGAAAACACCCCGACGCGTGAACCGTACCATGGCACTAGCAAATCGGGAATATCACTGATTTATGAATGTGTTGCTTATGTTTGGATAATCGCTAACCAGTTCGGACAATGTGGATTGGACTGGTGTGGTTTGAACAGAGTGCTCTGAAACTTTGTTTCGTGTTACTGTGTCAGGGTGTGCTATATTTGGAGTTTGGGATTTGTCGCGCGTGCTGTTATACTTTGCGTAGCTGGTGTTTCTTGTGACCTGAGATGGACCTTCTGTATGACCTGATGCTGGCTTCATTTCTGTGCCCCGTCATTCCTCCTGTGCCGCCGCTACCCGGCCAAGAATGCAAGGAGAAGGTCGGCCAACTCAGAAACCGGAATAGTAATTCCGTCCACATATATATTCTCGTTTCCTATGACCAGTCGTTGAAACAGTGTTTTTAAAAAAAATATTTGTATTTAAGTTTCTTTCCTTACCTTTTTATGTTTTACGGTTTCTCAAAATCTTGGACTTTTTTTCGAATCAATAGTGAACCAGGTCGTGTCGGCGTCTGACACGGTACAACAGGGTACAACATTGTTTTCATTCCCATATTGTCTTGGTGCTCGATTCCTGTCACTTCCGAAAACAACGCATCAAAGTCAATATCGCTCAATAAATCAATTTCGTTCACCTCAGTAATTTTACAGAATTCATTTTCTTCACATGCGTTATTTGTATTGATAGATAGCCATTTCATATCCAAATCACCGTTAGGACAATCCATTTTCTTTCATCTAGATGAAATGTTACAAGATCAGGCAAAAATACCAAATTAATCATATTGCTGATAAATGCAGGGATTAAAAAGAAAACAGAAAAACGAGTTGATTGTAAACGCCGATCGATAATTCGGGGAAACTTTTCTTTCCGTTTACAGTTGTGTGAACTCCAAATATCAGATCACGTGACTACCCCTCAGCCAATCAGCATTAAAGAAACAGATTAAACTTTAAAGTATGAAATTAATCAAAGATATTTACAAAATTCAACACAATGTTTGCATGGGTTCAAAATGAAGAAGGTAACCGATTCAGGATAGCTTGGCGTGTCACTATACCACTTTCGAATGGCCTTTACATGCATTTGCGCAGCAGTGTAACATGTTTGCCTTTTTTAATATAGGCTCTGTCCATAAATATTGTTTGTTTGTTGCTTAACGCCGCATTCAGCAATATTCCAGCTACATGACGATGGTCTATAAATAATCGAGTGTGGACCCCACGATTCAGAGATTGACCCCGTGAAACTATATTTACGCAATTGGAATAAGACATGCATTAACCAAGTCAGCGAGCCTGAAAACCCAATCCCGTTAGTCGCCTCTTACGACAAACATGCGTTTCTGAAGATCGATTCTAACCTGGATCTTCAAGATCATAAATATTGAATGCCAACTGCTTAAAAAATACGAGAAGACAATGTCTCTACAGGAATCCTGATTGCTTTCTATACACCTGCAGTACAGTAGTTTTTCACCAACCAATATCTCACAGAGATGTTGATTCGTGGACTCTTGGCGTTTTTTTGTTCTGAAAGTAATTTCACGCACATCCACAAATATACCAAATTGGATGATTTCCCACGTGTAAACCTGAATAAATTCCATGGAGTATTCTTTTTAAGATGACTGTGTGCCTTTGTTGTGTATCGTTCAACCCTGACAAATAACATGACTAAGTTATTATCATAATCACATTATTAAAAAATGTTATTGACACCAACATGTTTGTGCTTTTGTAATTTATAGAGACTTAGTGCTCGAGGGAAATGTACTGTCCATGACATAAACAGGAAATTAAGATCTATAAAAGGGACGTAACACTATAGAATTAAGCTTGCGTGTTTACGTGGGTTGAGTTGGCGATGGTCGATCTTGCCCTTGGCTACACGATATGGGATTGAGATGAGCTTCCTGTCGTGGAGGTGACCTTACTTTAAAACAACGCAATGTCAATGTGTACACGCGTGTCTAATGTTTCTTTAACAGAGTCATGTCGTTGACAGGTATGTAGAAGTTTGACGAACTTGAAGACATGGATAGCGATTTCTTTTTGCTTTGTCACGTTTATTTATTCACACCGCTCCACTCCACTCAACTCCACTCCACCCCACTCCAGGGATGATGGGGGTAGCCTACTGGTTAAGGCGTTCTCTCGTCACGCTGAAATCCCAGGTTGGATTCCTGACATGGTCATAATGTGTGAGGCCAATTTCAGGTGTCCCCAGCAGTGATATTTCTGGAATATTCCTAAAAGCGAGATCGCCTCCGTGGTCTAGTGGTAGAGCGTCCGCCCGGAGAGCGGAAGGTGCGGGGTTCGATCCCCGGCCGCGTCATACCAAAAGACGTTAAAAGATGGTACTTGTTGTTACCCTGTCTGGCGCTCGGCATTAAGGGGCTAAAACAAGGACTGGTCGGCTCGGAGTCATTTTCCTGTGTCTGAGTGGGGTATTCATGTTAAACTGCGGCATGATATCTCACTGGGCTAGCACTAAAAATCGGCATCAGTCCGGTCTAGTACAAGCAGCCACACACACACACACACGTGCATGCACGTCGCTATATAAGTGCAATAATCTTGGACGCGACGTTAAACCCAATTTCACCTCACCTCACCTAAAAGCGACGTAAAACTTCACTCCACTCTATTCCACATTTTACACCCGGTATCAATCAATCAATCAATCAATCAATCAATCAATCAGTTTATTCGGTAATAAGGCATCATGCCCAGGTACAGATATATTCAATTTAGTTTCACATCAAATGCTGCATGAAATAATATTTACAGGTAAGAAGACCGAAGACAGATAGCATCTTTAACATAATTGGCTAAGTTCTCAAGACAGTTTACATCAGAAGAGTTCAACATTCTAACTAGTATGTCTTTACGATTACCAGTAATGAAGTCTAAATATGGTCCATATTTTGAGCGATTATCTTCAAAAATAGGTCAAACAAGAAAGAAATGAATTCCATTTCCAACTGACCTCAAATTACACAATGGACTAAACCGGAGTGTCTTATCGATGGTATCCCCCCTGCCTATAATATGCATAATTTCCAGTTCTTAATAGCAGAAACCCACGTATTCCTACCAACAGCATCAGACCTATCTAACATATCGTAACACCGTTTTGGAAATCTATCTTAGGACATATTAAGAAGCTTAAACCAGTATCTTAATAATCTTGTGTAAGAATCAATATAAATACCATATCGACCACATTCTCCGATCACTGCAACATTTCTAGAATTGGAACTAATACCCAAAACATATTTACAAAACTTGGCTTGGAAATGTTCGAGAAACAACCAGTTTTGAACACCCCCTATCTCTGAGCTATATTAAATAATAGGTTTAATCACTTTAGGAACGATATTTCGAAGTTTATAACTGAGCTGTTCGACCAATACAGCCTGTTTGAAAATATATTGCCCAAATTACTGTAATATGTAGAAACCTTGACAGGCATATGCCCGAGTTTCCATGTCTCGAAGTTCCTGAACTTACCAAGAACTAAGATATCAGTTTCATCCATGTTAACTTTAAACCCCATTTGTGTAAACCCCATCTTCTTCTGTAGTTCAAGAACTGAATCTTCAAAAATACACAGGTCATCCGGTATCATTACTACTATCATAAACTACGTTTATAACGAACACGCTTAAAAACGAACTTCTGAATATAACGATCTGTTTCTTGGTCATGTCCATTTTGTGTGTATATGTTGTACATATGCTTATAACGAACTACGGTTATAACGAATTAAAATTAGTGGTCCCTTTGAGTTCGTTAAAACCGTAGATTCATAAACACGTGCTAATTATTGTCGAGCCGTACAATGGATTTTTAGCAGATATTTTTTTATGATAACGGAGGGGTTATTACCGCTTTTACTTACAATACTATATACTGCTTTAACCCTCTCATTAGAATCAGCCAATTTGTCTTTTAACTTTTTTCTTTTCAGGACTTTGATGAAGTCTTTGTGTTCTAAAATTTCTTGACTTGCCGCACCCATACACACTCGCATTGGGAATATATCAATTTGAATTAATGGATACCTTATCTGTTCAAATCTATCCACTGATCGTAAGATCTGCCGGATCAGTAAGTGTCTTTGTACTGGATCAAGTCTTCATGTATAATTTACAGCGTGGCAAGACAACCCGTAGTGAAACAAATTTTCGTTTTAAAAAACCAAAAAAAACCAACCATGAACCATTTTTCTATCTTGTGACTTCATCTTTGATGATTTCAAACACTATTTTCGCTAACTTGCGCACATAATAACGTAACAGTAATTGAGCCGATCAGGCTTTAGGTATAAATGTACAATGACATGCTCATCGTACAATAACATGCTCATCGTATACTTTGTGGATCCTGAAAATTATTAGATCAAATATACGAGTTTTCGTATAATTTGTCGTTGTAGTATATGATAGAGACACAAAGAAGACGTTCATTACCCAGTATATTGTGGGGGCGGTCGGGTAGCCTAGTGGTTAAAGCGTTCGCTCGTCACGCCGATGACCCGGGTTCGATTCCCCACAGGGGTGATATTGCTTGAATATTACTAAAAACGGCGTAAAACCATACTCACTCACAGTGTATTGTACAGAGACGTCATACGTTAAATACGTGCATCCCCAACACGTGTACCGGCTATTAATAGACTGATCCGAATACAATCAACAAAGGGAGGCAAACCACAGCAGGTGATATTCACACTCCCCCAAAGTCCGGCCTACCAAACATGTGTACATGCAATTTATACACCAAAAGACCAATTAATGAAATATAATACATTATGTTATAACACATCTTATAGATTTCCATTGGTAGTATTGTATGAGGAGGGACGTAGGGGTAGACGAGTGGTTAAAGCGTTCGCTCGTCACGCAGAAGGCCCGGGTTCGATTACCCACAGGGGAAGCCCATTGGTGTCCCCCGCCTTGGTTTTGCTGGAATATTGCTAAAAGATGCGTAAAACCACATTCATTCACTCACTTATTGTATGGAGGAAATGGAGCCAAGGTGTTCGGAGTGCCAAGCCTTTAAACACAAGGCTACCTCCCAACCAAAGGATATATCAGAGAAGGTACTGTTACTCTTCAGCTCGTCATGCTGAAGACCCGGGTACAATCCCAACATGGGTACAATCGCGACAGCGTGATGTTGGATTAATGCTATTCCGAGAGCTTTGACAGGGATCTGTTCTTCAAATCGCCCCGATGGACCTGTCTTGACATAGACAGCATACGGTTCCCACGGTTAGATATCGCAGATGTAATCGTAAACGAGACACGACACGAGACATCACAATTCAGGTGGAACGAGGACAAAACCATGATACATCACCTGTTCATATGACCTTGGTGATCACGTCGTTTAATTTAAATAATCAATGAACCTACAAGTATCTGTCTATTGTGTGTTTGCTGTTAAGTGTGTGTACTGTAACGTTTCCGATGCATGATTCTTACCTACAGTGACGACGTTGAGATGTACATATTTTGCAAAGCTCTCCTGAGGTTAATAGGGATGGATCTCCGAAGACGCCTTCACGTGTTTTTCAAGACGGCGCTGAAGGATTTGGTAATCTTGCTGTTCCAGGTACTACCTCTGTGTGGTGGACATACTTGCACAAACATTAACAGTATCAGTACTGTTCAGAAGGACACTGCTCTCCTGGGCTCAACGTTTCTCACTATACCGAACATTGGTGTCATCGGCTGTGCAAGGCAGTGTCTGCTGAGAAGACGGTGTAAGTCCTTCAACGTCGCCCTGAGCAGCTCAGAATGTCAGCTGAATGAGTTGTCTACTTCCGGTAGTGTGGCCAGCAACATTGTCGGTGTTCAGAACAGCGTGGTCAGTGACATTGACCAATGGTCAAGAAGAATCGCCGGAGCCTGTCAGAACCACGCATGTCCAAACAACTCTGTGTGTAAGTTTTACGACAACGGAACTTTGTTTTGTCAATTTGAGTGTAGTGATCCGCCAAGATTAACTAATGGTGTCATCTCACCCAACACAACCCGATATGACATTGGTACAACTCTGAGCTACAGCTGCGCGGGTGGGTATCTAAGGAGCGGTGAAGCGGTCTGCCAGTCTGCAGGAACATGGTCCAACTTCAGCTGTCAGATCGGATGCCAGGGTCTCCCAAGAATCCTCAACTCCGTCACTGGATCAATCGGTAACCTTGACCTATGGCCAGTCGGCTCCAGTCCCGACATCACATGTTCACCTACTGAAGGACAGATCGGGAAGATCAGGTGTCAAGCGGATGGGACATGGTCGACAATGAAATGTGTTCGAGTGCTGCGGTCTTGCTCCGAGGTCAGAAATTGCAGTTTGTTTTATGGTGACGGCGAGTACTGGCTATTTCCGGAGATATTCAACAACACGGCCGTCAAGATATTTTGCAGCGGAATGAACTCTACGACACCAAAACACTATGTTACATTACCACGTGAAACGTTCTCCAATTATTCAGACACCAGCTGCCGAAGTGACCAGTTCGGTTCATGTGTTTCTATCCGTTACAACAAGATCCGAATTGACAATATAGACACAATGACAACTGGATACAAAGGACTCACGGACCATACGTTTGCTAACAACAGTGACTGCGAAGTAGCCGAATACGCCGGGGCATTTGACTGTAGCTTAGACCCTTCCTGTACCGGAAACGAGGGGAGACAATTCAAAATAGACATTGGTCAAACCGGCCTAGTTATCTCCCCTGAAACACAATGGCTTGTGAAAAGTGGATACGGTAATGTGACGATACAACGATCCGACAATAACCGAATCATCAACGGAAACTGCGTCACCAACTGCAGCTTCTGTTACGTGAAGGACGACAATTTATCCTACATCCTGGATGAATCCTTCACCCCGAGTCCGAGCAGCGCTAGTGTACCGGTCTGTCTGGCTTCCTCATTTTTGTAGATTTAAAATGTTGTGCCGACTTTCAGATAAGTGCCTAAATTAAAGGAGCTACTACAGAAACGCCAGTCGTTCAAACTATCTTCAGAAGAAAGGACATTGTAAAACTTAAAATAAATATCAAAAGATAATTTTGAAACACAGAAATGGAGACTTTGAAAGTGCAAATGGACATCCCGCAGACATCGTCCAACTTAAGGAAATATCAAAGACTATTTAAAAGTAGGTCCTTTCTTGACCTCTGACTATTCGTTTACCTAAACTGTGTTTAAGCCTATATCCGCTTGTTAGTATTGATCTCTGTTTCCTGAAACCAGGTTCAGTTTTGGCCGATATTTCGGAAAAAGAAGAATTCGCACACAGATATGAAAAGGGATTTAACTTTTCATGATGTGGAATTTCGATATCCGATATTCGAAGGGGGCACGGTGGCCCAGTCGTCGAAGGCGCCGCAATTCTCTGCGCAGAGTTGCGTCCCTTGGGCACGCCAAAAACCTGTGGTTGTGAGTTCGAATCCCGGTTCGCCTCGATTATGATCTAGGTTTGGCAGCACCGTACCCGTGCTCTTGGGTTACAATTATGGCACCTGTGTACCCCTGGACTGTTCTTTTCATATTCAAGTGCATTAACATAGAAATGGAAGGGCTACTATTAGCGAAGCAGCATGATCGACATTCGTTGGTCAAAGATGTGATGAATTGACGCTTATCAAATCTAGTCCCTCACACACTGGATACCTGTACATGTATGTATATATAACTGCAAGGTTTTCAAAATGTTACTTTCTTGCATAAGTGTTATCTTTTATCTCAACTTTTGACTTTTACCTAACCACGTTAGGGATTCGCTTTCTTTTGTAAGAATTAAGACAATGGCGTAATTCTGCATAGCGAAATCCGACTCTTCAGACAACTTTGCTATGTTTTTTTGCCTCGAATCGTGTAAAGCCTCGCGGAATATGAAACACATTCGCATGTGGTCTCTACGACCTTCCAAAGAGGCTTTCTTCCTACATCAAGCTGACACGCCGTGATATAACTGAAATTATGTTCAAGAAGCATTAATACAAAGTCATTCGCTCACTCACCCACTAAGCTAAGTGTGTTTCTCTTGTCTTGTTGGCTATGCAATACAATTTTATTAAATGTGTACACCTGGGTATATTATATTCTAATATTGCATCTTTAGGATCGTGGAGCCTAAAATATTTTGTTGAGGATATGTAGATAATTTGAATTGTAGGAGAAATACAGCCTTCGAGGGTTGCCACGTCTGTCAACTCTGGATGTAACGAAATCGGCTATGTAGCTAAAAGTCTTTAATAACTGCACAATAATATCCCAAAAGCAGACAGTTCCCCCGCTGAATATCGGATCTTAATTCTTAAAATGTGGGCTGGTAGGTTAGGAGGTTTGTAAACTTTTTGTAACAGCATAGTCAATAATTGACCACTCTAAACGTCATATTCACTCCCTAAAATACAGTAAGTGACTGTGGTTTACGCCGCTTTAGCAATATCCCAGCAATATCACGGCGGGGGACATCAGAAATGGGCTTCACACAATGAACCCATGTGGGGGAATCGGCGTGGCGTGATGAACGAACGATGAAACCACAAGCCTCCCCCCCCTCTGAAAATGAACAACATTCCTGTTGTAAATATAGCGAAAGGACAGCTCGTGCCAATTCGACAACAATTCATGCGTGGTGTTCGTGTAACCTGTTGCGCTGTGTATGCACTGGTAATATTACTTGTGCGATTTTCTTATCGAAATATCTTATCTCCGCACATGCTTGTTGTTCTGCGTCCATCAATCACCGTTAGCAGCATAGCGTTTAAGGAATACAATTTTCTTTTGTAATTTTGCGGGAGGGGGTTAAGTGTAAGTGATACGTGTATATAGTAAATCAAACAGAATTATCGGAGTGTTAGTGTTGTGGTGGGAGGATCACGAAAAGGTCTGGCACAGACACAGGAACCAGTGTTTGATATAGGGAGCAACATCCCTCAAGCCACCGACCGTTACAGTTTATCTATATATATACTACTGACACAAAAAAAGGGAAATAAAAATTTCCAATACCGTGGCGTTGCATCTGAACACATCTGATCCCAATGAAATTTCATTTCATGCATGAACAGCACGTGATACACGTGCACGGAAGCCAAAGTATGTGAGCCTTCAGGGGAACTTCCAATCACTAATGTAATTGAGCTCAGCACACGCTTAATATACCACCGAAATAGTATAAGATGTTTGTCGAGTCTTTCCACATTTATAAGTTGCAACCTGGAACCCAAAAGGAGGAAAGTAAAGAGTCAGATTCTAGTGTCCATTTCTGTGAGAACAACACGCTTAGGATTTTATCTGCAACATCACGGCGGGGGACACCAGAAATGGGCTTCACACGAGTAAACGCTTTAACCACTAGGCTACCCTACCGCCCCTCAACTGCATCGAATGCAAAGCGCAAGAGTAAAAATAATTTTGCCCAAGCTTGTCTAATGATAAGATTTTGGCTATTATTTGTGATGATTACGAATTCACATAACCCATACTTGTACAAGAGCACGTACAGAATTTAATGGAACTTGGTCAGATTTACCTAATTTTGTAATCATATAGAAAAGAAACTGTGGGGTTAGGGTATAGATAGACATTTTGTTCATATATGTAGATACTTTCTAACGGTAAATAAACCGACCGACTCCTTTGATAATAACATACGAAGAGTTTGGGATAAATCTTTCCATGAGAATTAATTTTATAACTCCCGATCCTTGGCGAGAGGCTTTCAATAGAAGTTGACAAGGCACAAGTTGCGAGTCGGTGAATTAGAGTTTCCCACTGTCTTTTTTCTAAAAAAATGTAAAAGTTGATGATTTCAGGTGGAGACGTCTGCACAGTCTGTCATTTGTTGACGTCACATAAAAACTAATGTATGACGTCATGTTCAATTATTTTCAAAATTGCGCTGATACGAAGCAATCAATGAGACAAGTCAATCAGTATACTCAGTAAAAATCACTGAAACTACTTTCTCATATATCCATGCCTCTAACGGCAATATCACAATATCGTAATATCAGGTCTTCAGGAACCCATGATTGCCGTAAAAGGCGACTATGCTTGTAAGAGGAGACTAACGGGATCGGGTGGTCAGGCTCGCTGACTTGGTTGATGCATGTCATCGACCCCAATTGCGTGGATCGATGCTCATGATATCAATCACTGGATTGTCTGGTCAAGACTCTATTATTTACAGACCGCCGTCATATAGCTGGTATATTGCTGAGTGCAGCATTAAACAACAAACAAACAAACAAAAATCATTCATACATTGTTTCACACTAAAACAACCTTTTTATATACCGTTACCTTCTTGGTGTCTTCAAAGTGCTGATTGCCATATGTGATGTCATGTATCTCTGTAATAAATATGAATTGAAGCTTCTGAATTGTATTTTCGGAATTAAATAGCTTCATAAAATAACTAAGGTAAGTTCAGATCACGGACATTGGCTTATTTTGCCATATCTTTTCTTTGTTTGAAGTGCTGGTCTGTCAATTTGATGTTTCTGTTTTGCTAAATGAGAGGCTCTATCTATACTTGGCAACAGTTGACAGAAGCCACCGAGGGAATCTTGCGTATATACATGTACACTTAATAAAAGAGAATTTTTTTGGGATACTTTTTTGTAGCAAAGACTGAGTTCAATTAAATGTGTACGGAATATAACAATATTTCATGATCCCCAACCTCGCTTTGTTTAGCGTATGTAAACAAGATACAAAAATATATTGTACGCAGTCATACAGCAAGCAGATTTGTTCTTTGGTGTGGTTGAAAAGGGCATACAAAATATTTCCAATTTATTTTTGCTGCAATATTTTTTGCCCGTTTTGATTCCTTTATTCTCAGTAGACATACTTTGTTTCTTTGTTTGTTTCAACAACATTACTTTTTAAGAGCTAATGTAATAATGATATTTGTAATAACCGACCTTTGATAAAATCTATTATATCCTGCATCTTGTGCCCGATTAATTTGGTCAGCAGCAACCCAAAACCCCACGAAGCATTAGGCAAACAGGGGCACAATCTCCAAGGCGCCGAGATTCGCGGTGCAGAGTTGCATCCCTTGGGCACGCCAGAAACCTATGATAGTGGGTTCGAATCCCGGTTTGCCCCGATTATGTTTCTAGGTTTGTCAGCACTATACCCGTGCTCGTGGGTTTCACTGAAGTGGTAAACGTCTGATACCTGCATCACTTCGGGCTTTCCTCCAACATTAAGCTGACACGCCGCGATACATCTGGAATACTGTTAAAAGCGGCCTTAAACCCAACTCACTCACTCATTCACTCACTCTCTCAGTAGGCAAACATGCATGAATGGTCCTAAAATCTTTTGTTGGATCAAATCAGTAACGCCACCCGTCAACTCTATGATTTTGGAAATTTTTTAATAACATATATTTCACACGCTGCTTTTCGAAAAAATCTAAAACTAAAAATTGTGAAAGTGTTTTTTTATTTTATTTTTAACAGCTTCCCTGCTTTTCATTAAACTTCTCATATTTATAGGGAAGCTTTGCAATTCCAGTCAGGAAGAGGTTTTCTGAAGCTACCCTGAAGCTAAATCATTCACGGTAGCTTTGAGGTCATCGTTGTCGTCATAGCGCTTTAAGAAGGTGTTCTTTCAGTTTAGGTAACAGGTGGAAATCACTTGGTGCCATGTCTGGCGAGTATGGAGGGTGAGGAAGCTATTTGAACCAACATTGTCGCACAGCAGTCTTTGGAAGTCGAGAGGTGCAAGAAGATGCATTGTCATGAAGTAGTAGAACTCCAGCAGTCAGCATTCCTCGCCGCTTTTCTCTGATAGAGTCTCTCAGGCGATTAAGCAAATCAGCATAGTAGGCACCGACAATCGTCTTTTGACTTTCTAAGTAATCAACAAGGTTCACACCCTTTGCATCCCAGAATACAGTGGCCATAACTTACTTCACTTATCTTGAAGAATTTAATTTCTTTGGTGTTGGAGAAGTGGAATGGTGCCATCCCAAGGATTGAGATTTTGACTCGGCATCGTCGTGGTAGACCCAAGTTTCAATCTCTTTTTGAATTCTACGAAATCCTCCTCAATTAGCTCTAAACTTTTTCTGGCAATGTCAGTTCTTTTTTCCTTAAGATCAGAATTTAGAAACTTTGGCACCCCACAAGCAGATATCTTATTCATCTGTAAATATTCATGAATAATAGTTTCAATGGATCCATGGCTAAGACCTTCGTCTTCCTCATCTTCCTCAAGTTCAACAATGGTAATACGTCTTTCTGACAGTATAAAACTTTTCTATCTCCTTGGTTGAATCTTCATTGATGGAAGTTGAGGGACGTCCAGACCTAGGGTCATCATCAAGGCTTGTTCTACTCGTTCTTTTCCATTTCTATGACCATAAGGACCCCTAGCACGTTCAAACTGCCCCAACACACCAAATACATTAAGTGAGTGAGTATGGTTTTACGCCGCTTTTAGCAATATTCCAGCAATATCACGGCGGGGGACACCAGAAATGGGCTTCACACACTGTACCAACAAATACATTAAGAATGAACTACTCTAACAATGTACTACATTGACTTGTTTACTTTGTTATGGCCCATAGTTCAAAGTTATTCAGGCGTAGACAAACTGTTGTTTGAACCGGACATTGTACTTCTGCGAACAGTGCACTTGGACATGTTGCATGTGGAAGGTTTGTTTAAACAATGTACGACCTCGTGAAAATGTGTCTTATTTACTCATACACACCTGTCAATATCCATGTAAACACAATTTATCATCCCAAAACTGGTTTGGACGAGAGATATTGCTCGGGTGAGATCCTTGGAGATGTCGCTGCAATGAAATTGTAGCACAATATTTTGCAGAACAGTGTGATGTCATCGGTTACCATGACGTCAGAATCAAATGACATCACAAATCTCTCTGCCACTGAAGCTGGTTAGCTCTTTTGTTACACTTGTTGTTAATATTTATAACCACAATAGTTGGGCTTATGATTTTGAATGATCAATAGAATCTTGTGTCTTTTGATATGAAATATATAAACCGTCATCGACAAAAGATTAAACGATTTTACAATGTTATCGACTTGTGTTGATATATTTGACACCAAATGACACTCGGATGAGTTCATCTGTATGTGGTCAGAAAACAATGTAGACCAGCAATAAAATCGGCAATAGCCCCGAGTAGTGCAGGCACGCAGGCACTCGCGCACACGCATGTCGCTATACAAGTACAGTGAACTACGGTTATAACGAACTCAAAGGGATCACTAATTTTAGTTCGTTGTAAGAATATATGCAGCATATATTCAGCACATGGTCGGTACAAAAGAAAAAGTTCGTTATATCCGTCAGTTCGTTATAAGCGCATTCGTTATAGACGTAGTTTACTATACAATAATTTGGAACGCGACGATAAACCCCCCTTTCACCTCACATCACCTCCTGTCATGTGGATTGCGATTTAAAAGTAATTTTACAATATTATGTTTGTCATATTTCGTGATTCTATTTCTAGTGACGAGGACTAAGAGTTCCGATAATGCACAATCCCTCTTCTATCTTCCCATCATCTTACGGTCTTACTGTTAAAGCAAAATGGGGCTGACATTTTTTTATTCTATCTGGAACATTAAATTTTCAATGACAATATTTTTAAAGTAACAACCCCGATCAATTATTCTTCCAGAAACATACAGATGACAATTTACATTACAACGTCTTTTAGGAACATGACAAATGAAGTGATATATTCTGTCTCTGAGTACCATGGCAATTTCGGTTATATGTTCTTCCTCCAATGAAATCATGCCAATCCCCTGATTTTTCATTTAAGAGAATTGACAATCTCACATTTTGTATCATCGTCACCAGATTCATTTTCTCTTACATTGTCCTTTGGCGGGACACGAATCTCCTTTCTGCTTGTTGAACTTGGGCCTTTCTTGACCTTGTCTCTTGGCAATTCCGTCTACGTAGCAGTGCTCGTTGCACGCCTGGCGAGGGTCAGGCACACAGTTGTACTTAACGGCCCCAGGAGCGGTCTCACGAATGTGTTTATCGATGTCTTGATTTCCTGTGCAGTGCTCTTGCAAACGTCGTCCTATATCGTTAGCTCGCCCAACATAGATGACTTGTTTGCCCTCTTTGAAGGCGTAGATTCCTTCCACCTTTCCCTCTGGCCTTTCCTTCAAATTCTTGTATGTACCTTCTGCGAGGTCATTGCAATTCGCCATAGTTGAAGCCTACAATATATTTGAGAGAAATCGTACATAAAATGCTTCGTTTCTAATGCAACAAAATATTTATCAGACCTGATAATGACATATTTTCTCGTATTTACACACGATTCATTAACATTTTCAAAATAAGTCATGACATTCACACTTATACAGTTGTTCTAGCATGAGTTGTCTGGTAACCATATGCAATGTACCGAGCAATTAATAACATTTTGATGTGCATGGCATGGCATGGCATATTATCACATGGTTCAAGACAAAATAAATTAAAGCATGTACATTGAGTCTTGGATGCTGTGATGAGATTGTCAAAAGTTTGATAACTTCCTCAATGTTACACTCCTCCCTTGTACTAATAATGAGTAAAAATGTAAGTTAAATGTAAATTCCCTTCAGCTTTCAAATTTAATATAGGTAAAATGTAAACTTCCCTTGAAGTGCTAATGAGTACCTTTAACTAATATACCCTTAAAAAATGCAGGGCATACTTGGAAATAACTTACAACTTCCAAAATTGTAAGAGATATTAGTTTTTAGTAATAGTTTTAAAATAATGAACGAATTGGGAACACATTACAACCGGCATTGAAGTTTGTTAGTACATGTAGGTGACCGCCAAGCATCTTGAAGGACGATAGGGTTAAGATGGGAAATTTCAAAGTTGATGATTTTGCATCCGTAGTACGTAATACTGCCACGATTTGTCAAACATTCATTCACTCGACGTCTCGAGTCTCCTAATGGCGATGTGGTGGAGTCCGTCCCACTCCTCTTGTTCAGGTTCAGCCCATGACAATTTTATGGATGTCGTGCTGCGCGAGGTGAACATTGAGAATTCGTGAAAACGAACGTCGACCCACACGCCTTTCAAACGGGACAACAAAAGGTGTCAGTATGTTGACCCTTCCTTCTACAATATGGAGTGGGGTTCGTTCAGTCATAGTGATTCCATCCCACATCATAGCTATTCCAGCGTCAAATCTCCCCTGAGGTCTCGGGTTGACATTGGCATGACATTAATTTCGACGTCGCCAGACACGACCACGCCTGTCAAGGAGTAGTATAGACGATGGGGGTACTTGGGCACCATACCGGGACCAGTTCCAGCTCCTCAAAATGCTTCTATGGAGGTATTTAGTTTACCAATTATGTGACGACGATCTAATTCGCTGTGATGAGATGCTTCCCTTTGACACGCCAGAAATCTATGATTGTGTGTTCGAATCCTGGTTCGCTCCGTTATGTTTCTTGTTTTGTTTTTAGTTTTGGCTTTCCAAAGTGGTAAACGTCTGAGAACTGCATCATTTCGGCCTTTCCTGCCTCAGTAAGCTGTCACGCCGTGATATAATTGGAACACTGTTAAAAGCGGCGTTAAACCCAACTCACTCACTCACCCACTCACTCACTCTGGTTCAGCTGGTACCCATTTTTAACAGTCACGCAAACAATAACATCAATTACATACGTTTCCTGATAAAAATGACATTGAGATATTTTATATTAGTTTAATATTATGAATTGAGGGGCAAAAGAAAGTATACTGTGCTTATTTTCCTTCATTCCTGCAACAAGTTAAAAACAAATAAATCTGTGACTGGGTTAGATTGTGTTAATTTGCAGCCACATGAAGCCTACCATTCCGTCTTCTATATTAAACGATACCATCACTTTTCTTGGAAAAGTATAAACGTGTACGTATATAAGTATATACCGTAAGCTGTCAACACCTCTTCCGCTGTTGTTAGGTTAAATGTAAATCCCTTGGATCTATTAATAACTTAAATGTGAATTTTTCAGCTATCAAGCGAAGCGGTAACATTTTAACTTCCCTTCATATAAGTAAGTAAGGTGTCAATTCCTATTGAATGATAAATGAGTGGCATGTACAGGGCTATTGGGAACAATGACGTATCAAGACTTCGGAAAAAACTCTCCGAGTTATTGTATTATATATGTGCAAACGTCCTTCAGATAAAAATGAATCAGATACCTAGTTATGAGTAAAAATCTAAACTTTTTTTCAGTTACAAAATAAGTAAAAATATAACTTCTCTGTCGCTGCTAATAAGTAAAGAGTAAACTTCTCTTCAACTTATATTGAGTAAAATATAAACTTCTCTTCAACTAATAATTAGCAAAATGTAAACTTCTCTTCAGCTGGAAATGAGTAAAATGTATACTTCTCTTCAGCTGGAAACTACTCAAATGTAAACTTCTCTCTAACTAATAATCAATAAAATGTTAACTTCTCTTCAGCTAATAATGAGTAAAATGTAAACTTCTCTTTGGCTAATAATATAATGAGTAAAATGTAAACTTCTACCCATGTAATACGATGATGGGCAGTTTGATTGACCTTCACCGTGTTTCAAGTGATTCTCGTTAGCGCCCCTCAAAATATCAAGTGATTCACTCTCAAGTCATCCATAGGGACGAACACTTTTGATTGTAGTTATACATTGATATCTTCTGTGAAAATCAGACTCAGCAGAGAGAGACATAGAGAGGGAATGGTACAAGTGTTGCTTACATTACGTTTGTGAACCGATACATTTTAGACCAATTCTTTACATGGGTAGTGCGTGCACTGTTTTCTACTTAATAAGGGTGAGGGTCGTTCCGTCGTGTAAAATGCGCGGCACTTTGGCGTGCAGAATGAGTCCTACTGAACTTAGCTACATGAATGAATTTAAATGTTTAAGAAATCGTTATCGACGTATGTGCAGAATAAAGAAGGAAGCCTTGAAAGAACATCTCATATCAGATTTATCTTTGTCTGATAATGAGTAAAATATAAACTTCTCTTCAGTTGATAATTAATAAAATATAAACATATCTTCATCTGATAATAAGTAAAATGTAAACTTCACTGCAGCTTTCCTTGTTTGTTTGCTGTTTTACATATATACCACCACACACTATGTAAAATATAATACAACATATAAGAAATAAAGGTGTCAGAGTTATCCCGTGATCACAACAATAAATGTTTACCATTAATGTTTTATGTAAATCTGTTTTCTCCGTTGAAATATTTGTTGGTTGGTTGGTTTGTTTGTTGTTTAACGCCGCACTCAGCAATATTCCAGCTATATGACGACGATCTGTAAATAATAGAATCTGGACCAGACAATCCAGTCGTTGACATCATGAGCATCGATCCACGCAATTGGGAACGATGGCATGCATCAACCAAGTCAGGAAGTCTGATCGCTTCTAACGACAAACATAGTCGCCTTTTACGTGAAGCATGGGTTGCTGAAGACCTATTACTAATAGGTCTTTACTGGAGCTATTAATGAGTAAAATTTTAACTTCTCTTCAACTAATATTAAGTGAAATGTGAAATTATCTTAAGCTGGCAATGAGTATAATGTAAACTTCTCTTCCCTTGGGTTTCACCAGCAGCTTCAACACTCTGGCCTTGGGCCTTCCTCTCACATGAAACCCCCATGTAGTGATATGACTGAAGTACTGTTCAAAACGGAGTTGGCCTGACAAGCTGACTCACAGACCCGTTTCTTCCAAAAATTTCAAATGAAATATTGAATACTTACCGAACACCTATCAGACATTCTCGAAATATCAATGCAATGCAGGTATCTGTGAACGGAGCTTGAACACAGCAATGGCGCGCAGTCAGCTTCCTAGAAGAACGCAATTCCGGGAATCAGTGGATTTATATATCGACCTGTGGAAGGAGCGCTATTCACACGCATGCCACAAGGCATATCCAACAGCATGCAGAGTCATGTCACGTGATACCCATTCACATGGATGAAGACTTGTGATTATAGTTATGCACTGTGCATGCACTGTTTTCTGTTTAACAGGGATGCGGGTGGATCCGTCGTATAAATGCGCGGCACTTTGCAGTGCAGATTTGCGTCCACTGACTGGTGAACTTAGATGTATTAGTGAATTTAAATGTAAATAACAGTTTAAGAAATCGTTATCGTGCAGAATTAAGAAGGAGGGCTTAAAAGAACATCTCATCAGATTTATCAAGGATTTGTAATAATTCAAAACTGTTCTGGAGATAGTCAGAGGAACTTAATAGTACCTCCAGTACATCTGAAAATCTATATCAAGAAAAGAGTGGGTGTCATATTTTGAGAACATTTAAAATATTAATAACATTGACACAGATCAAGAACATTTAGTCTGTGTTGTATACATCATGTATCTGATCATGCTAAACATTTGTGTAATATGTGTAAGGATAATGAGATGAATGCTAGTTAAATAGTAATATATCGGGAATGAAATCCAGCATGCATTTGATAATCACAAAGATGACAAAGCAGCAGGGTCGGACGGAATTACTCCTGAGATGATAAAGTGCCACAAAAATGATCTTCCTCCTGACCTTCATACTCTGTACAATACAGTCCCGCAGAGTGGTCACTTCTCAGAATAATGGGCAAAGAGTTTACTTGCTCCACTCCATAAGAGAAGTACTAAAACCGATGTTAATAATTACAGGGTGTGTCATTCACTGAAAAGTATAACCTATAATCTGAATAAGAGGCTTTCTTTGTTCTTAGGTGTACATTATATAATTCCTGGCAGGTTTTAGGGCAGGTTAATGCACAGTGGATAATATATTTATTCTACGGTGTATGATACAGAAGTATTTATCAAAGTCTAACAGATTTGAATGCGTATTTGTAGATTTCAGAAAAAAGCATTTGATAAATATGTGTAAATAAACACTCCTGTGGTATGTTATGTTAAAAATGATACACATAGTGAACTCTTCAACAGTTTGCAGAACAAATGTTCAAAAGGTAAGTCTGTTGTTAAAATCTGGAATTGTTCCATTTCTAATTACTTTAATACATTAAGTGGTGTTAAACAGGGATGTTTTTTTAGTCATTATTATTATTATCCATGCTAATCGTAGAATTGGAAAATATGTTGCAAGACACTAGTGCTTTGGGTATATTTATCAGTCAAGAATTTATAAATGTTATTTTAACAGGTGGTTATATATGTGACAAATATTACAAAATGTCCATAGTCTTGACTGGTTCAAAATAAGTGTTCGAAACAAGTCATAGTTTCTCAAAAAGAATTTGACAAATAACCTTCAAATTTAGTCCAAAGATATATGTTATAATTTCATCGCAACCTGTTGTGCACTGCTTGGACTCACCAAGTCATTTCTTGGAAATCGAATATGTCATTTTCCGTTGTAGGGGTGACATGTTGTGGAAATAGCTTTTAAAATGCTAAACAAATATATTTCTCCAACAAACTTTATTAATTAACATTCTGCTATTTATTTTACATGTGTAAGTCTTATTAGTTGGTTAGCAATCACCCCGAGTAACACCATGGATAAAGTTTTCTCAAACACTTTTTATCATGTGATCTTTTACATTCAATGGAATATTGATACGTTTTACAGTTCCTATGGTTGATCGATCGGCAGATTCTTCATGAACATATATGTTTGCTATCGATGTGTTCATACGCACGGTTTTGTGTTTAATATATTCAAAAGGGTTTCCGTAACCTTTCTACTAAGAGAACCTGTTGAAGTGAACTTGCGTCCGTTTGCCTTATCAGCATCTTGTGGTTGAGTGTTCGAATCCCGTTTTGGCCTTGACAATGATCATTGCATTGTTAACACAATAACCTGCATGTGAGTTTTACAAAAGTGGTAAACGCCTAAGATATGCATTACTTTGGGATTTCCTCCAACATCAATACAAATGTATTGACAAAGGATAATGGCAATTTCAATAACATATTCTTTCAGAGATGTAACAAATTAAGTGATGTTTCTATAGGATCGTTCAGAGCAGTGTTACGTAATCACTAACAGAGTTGTATTTAGCATAAATATCATATGTACATTTCATTCAAATGAGTTACAGGTGCGCCAGGTGAATCTCTAACGGAATCATGACAATCCCCTGATATTTCAGTCCAGAGAATCACACGTTTGTTTCCTTGTCACAGGGTTCACTTTTTCTTACATTGTTTTGGGTTGTCACAGGTATTTCCTTTCTGCATGTTGTACTTCGGCCATTTACGTTGCAATTGACCAATCTGGTCTACGTAGCAGTGTTCATTGCACCTCTGGAAGACGTCATGCACGTAGTTGTATGTCAGTGTCCTGGGATTGGTACCACGAATGTGTCTGTCGATGCGTTGCCTTTTTCCGTAGCAGTGTGACTGCAGACGTTGTCGTATGTTGATAGACCTCCCAACGTAGATTACGAATCCGCCCTGTTGGATTGTGTAGATTCCTATGATCTTTCCTTTTGGCCACTTCTTCCAGTGTAGGCCTTGAGTATGTAGAAGGTATTGGCAATTCGACCTTGTTGAAGGCTACAATAGAGATAGGGAGACCTTATAACGCTTAAAGTTCTTGGCATATTTACTCCCTCTGTAATTACGTAGATTCCATTATTTTTTCCTTTGGCCATTTTTTCCATTGTTTGCCACGAGAACGAAGGAATTGACGCTTGGCCTTAGTTGACTTCTACAATATATGAAAGTGAGTCATCACATGAAGTGGATTTTGTAATAAAAGACAAAATATATGTCAGACCTTATACCACGTGACGTATCTGACGTGTCGGAATCTTCTGGTCATGGGTTCGAATCCAAGAATGGTCCTTTACCTGTCAGCGTCATACCCTTGCTTTCACAAAATGGTTCAACAGCCTGGCCTTTGGCCTTCCTCTCATATGAAGCTGCCACGCCGTGATATGACTGAAGTACTGTTCTAAACGGAGTTGGCAAATTTCAGATGAGCCATTGAATACTTACAGAACATTTAGACATTCTTGAAATATCAGTGCAAAGCAGGTAATTGTGGATGGACCTCGAGCAATGCAATGGCGCGCAGTCAACTTCAAATTCCGGGTATTAGCGGGGTATTACTAGTCTAAAGTACACAATGACGCCGTGGACTAATACAACGCTGACGTGTCTCCATGAACACGTGTGAATATATCTATACCTTGACATATTGATATGCAAACAGAATTATCTCTACAAGGTTATTTTCAAGGTTATATTACATGTACAAGTTATATGCAAGTTGTGTGTTTTTTGCAGGATGACGGTCCCTTTTTTCTGACAAGCTCGCTCACAGACCTGTTCCTGACACACATGTCGATAGAGATATAGAATATACATACAGAACAGTTAGACATTCTAATTAAGTCAATAGAAGCAAGTAATTTTGCAGGACTTCGTACCATGCAATGACACACGCTCAGTTTCCTAGAAATAATACTATTCTGCGTATTACCTGGGTATTCCCAGTATAATTTAAACAATGATACTGTGGACTAATATAACGCTGACGTGTCTCAGCCTATTTTTCTGCACCCACTGAATTCGATCACATTGTCCAAAAAAGGACACATTTGATACCAGATTTGATCATATGGTGTCATACATGAGGTATTTTGCATGTGCGATTATCACGGGGTGTGTTGTAACCAGACCTGTATTACACACCCAGTCGAATCCTGTCGGACTGATATGGCTTGTCAATGGATTTTGAATGTGCGATCAATATTAGCCTAGGTGGAAAGAAAATCAGCCCTCAGTGCGTCGTCTGCTCGGATAGTTGTCCTGTGACATCGCATTCACTTTCAAATAGAATTATGGAACTAGGTGCTATCTTGTACTAAACAGAGGAAGCGGAAGGTTTTGTGAACAAAATGAAAAGCAAAAGAGAGCAAGAACATGACGTAAAAGAGACACGAGAGCCGGCAGAGGTGGTATCCATCCATCGATGTTTTATTAATGGATACATTTTTTTCAATTTGATGTTATGGTGTACAGAAAGGTTATTATATGGTAGTTCATATACCCCACATCAGCCCTCTGATACGGGAGGACGTGTGCCGTACAATGATGACCTCGTTCTATTTATTTTGAATGGACAGCCGTGACCTCGGTCAAACCGGAACTACTTTATTGATTATAAACAATAACGAGACGGCATATATTTTCTAACATTTTACTTCAGCGAGACAGAAATTAAGGAATTTCATGAAAACGAGAGACATTTTCAAACACAAAATTTAACCAAACAGGAAAGTCCCAGATATGAAATTCGCTTGGCATGGAGCTAATACATATAACATATCATCGACTGATCTTTTACCTGTCAGCGTCATACCCTTAAATTTCACCACGATAGTTAAACAATCTTGGGCCTTCCTCTCACATTAAGCTTCCACGTCGTGATATGACTGAAGTTCTGTTCAAAACGGAGTCGGGCTGAGAAAACTCACTCACAGACCTGTTTCTAACTCAAATTTCAAATGAGCCATTGAATACTTACAGAACACTTAGACATTCTTGAAATATCAAGGCAGGTAATTGTGAACGGACCTTGTGCAGTGCAATGGCACGCAATCAACTTCTTGGAAATAATGCAATTCCGGGTATAAGCGGGGTATACTAAGTCTAAAGTAAGCAATGACGCCGTGGACTGATACAACGCTGACGTGTCTCCATTAACACGTGTGATTATATTTACACCTTGACATATTTATATGCAAACAGAATTATCTCTACAAGGTCTTTTTTAAGGTTATCTTACATGTACAGGTAAAATACAAGTGGCGTGTTTTGCAGGATGACAGTCCCTTTTTTCTGAAAAGCTCGCTCACAGACCTGTTCCTGACACACATTTCAATAGAGATATAGAATATACATACAGAACAGTTTGACATTCTAATTAAGTCAATAGATGCAAGTAGTTGTGCACGGAGGCCATGCAATGACACACGCTCAGTTTCCTAGAAATAATACATTTCTGGGTATTACCTGGGTATTCCCATGACACCGTGGACTGGAATATCGCTGACGTGTCTCCATGAACACGTGTGATTATATTTATACCGTGATATATTGATATGCAATTATCTTTACAAGGTCATTTTCAAGGTGAGTGCGTGAGTTGGGTTTTAACGCTGCTTTTAACAGTATTCCAGTTATATCGCGGCGTGTCAGCTTTATGTGAGAGGAAAGCCCGAAGTGATGCGGTGAAACCCACGAGCACGGGTATGGTGCTGACAAACCTAGACACATGATCGGGGCGAACTGGGATTCGACCCCACAATCATAGGTGTCTGGCGTACCGAAGGGACGCAACCCTGCACAGCCAATCGTGGCGCCTTGGACGACTGGAACACCCGTGCCCCCCATTTTCAAGGTGATCTTACATGTGCAGGTACAAGTGGGGGTGTTTTTGCAGGAAGATAGGATAAGCCAAAAGAGACTACTTTCTCACATTTCGCCAATGTACATTTTAGAGTAACTCTGTTCATACACTAACAGAGGTGGTGTTGACGTAGTCGCCAAAGGCGCCACAATTCACTGTGCAGAAAGGTGTCCCTTTGACGTGCTATGGTCCAGTGTTCGAATCCCATTTTCGCCTTGATAACGATCATTGCTTTGTTAACACGTTCGAGGGTTTTGTAAAGGCGGTATTGCCAAAATATACCAATATTTTGAAGAGATGAAGGTTTATTTTACGTTACCCTTGGTAACCATGTTTACTCCAGCATGTTGATCCTTTGTCAGTAGAGATGATTTGTTTATGGTAACGTCGAATCCATTCATCAGTATTTTTCATTCTTTACCATTTTGTTATCATGTTCATGTTGTCTTAACTTCCTTGGCTTTACATCGGGTGTTCCTGACACATAAATTTAATTTTATTGACTAGGGATCATGAAAATTTCATTGATATATTCGTTCAGATATGAAAGAAATATGAGTTATTACTAAATTGCCGTCAGAGCCGTGTAATTCCACTTCACATACATAGTTGTGTTTAGCACAAATCTCAGATGTACATAACATTCAAATAAGCTATAGGTGCGCCAGGAGAACATCCAAAGGAATCATGCCTGTCCCCTGATATTTCAGTCCAGAGAATCACACATTTGTTTCCTTGTCACTGGGTTCACTTTTTCTTTCTTTGTTTGGGGTTGTCACAGGTATTTCCTTTCTGCATGTTGTACTCCGGATCTTTACCTTGCAATTTACCAATCAGGTGTACGTAGCAGTGTTCATTGCACCTCTGAAAGACGTCGCGCACGTAGTTGTATGTTAGGTTCCTGGGATTGGTAAGACGAATGTGTCTGTCGATGCGTTGCCTTTTCCCGTAGCAGTGTGACTGCAGACGTCGTCGTATGTTGATAGACCTCCCAACGTAGATTACGAATCCGCCCTGTTTGATTACGTAGATTCCATTGATTTTTCCTTCAGGCCATATTTTCCATTGTATGCCACGAGAACGAAGGGATTGACACTTGGCCTCAATTGACTTCTACAATATATGAAAATGAGTCATTACATAAAATGGATTTTTTGAAAAAAGACAAAATATATGTCAGACCTCTTACCACGTGACGTATCTGACGTGTATACTTACAGAACACTTAGACATTCTTGAAATATCAAGGCAGGTAATTGTGAACGGACCTTGTAAAGTGCAATGGCGCGCAATCAACTTCTTGGAAATAATGCAATTCCGGGTATTAGCGGGGTATTACTAGTCTAAAGTAAGCAATGACACCGTGGACTGATACAACGCTGACGTGTCTCCATGAACACGTGTGATTATATTTACACCTTGACATATTTATATGCAAACAGAATTATCTCTACAAGGTCTTTTTTAAGGTTATCTTACATGTACAGGTAAAATACAAGTGGGGTGTTTTTGCAGGATGAGAGCAGTCCCTATTGTTCTGACAAGCTCACTCACACACCTGTGCCTGACACACATTTCGATAGAGATAAAGAAAATACATACAGAACAGTTAGACATTCTAATTAAGTCAATAGATGCAAGTAATTGTGCACGGAGGCCATGCAATGACACACGCTCAGTTTCCTAGAAATAATTCATTTCCGGGTATTACCTGGGTATTTCTGGGCCCACTGAACTGTATCACATTTACTCACATTTACTCCTATTTACACAGGATTCCTCGTCATACCTCAAACTTAAACAGGGGGCACGGGTGGCGCAGTCGCCGCGATTCGCTGTGCAGAGTTGCGTCCCTTGGGCACGCCAGAAACCTATGATTGTGGGTTCGAATCCCGGTTCGCCCCGATGATGTTCTAGGTTTGTCAGCACAATACTCGTGCTCGTTGGTGTCACCGAAGTGGTAAACGTCTGAGACCTGCATCACTTCGGGCTTTCCTCCCACTTTAAGCTGACACTCCGTGATATAACTGGAATACTGTTAAAAGCGGCGTTAAACCAAGCTCACTCACTCACTCACTCAAACTCAAACATGTCACTCAGATTTACACATATCTTTGTCACCACTTCCTTCAGTTAATAATATGAAAAATGTACACGCACTTCTGCTAATAAAGAAAAACATGTGTATGCACCAAAGCTAATAGTGAGTAAAATGTAAACTATTCTTCAACAAATAATGAATGAGTTAGTGAGTTAGCTAGTTTGATTTTACGCCGCTTTTAGCAATATTCCAGCAATATCACGGCGGTGACACCAGAAATGGGCTTCACACATTGTACCCATGTTGGGAATCAAATCCGGGTTTTCGGTGTGACGAGTGAACGCTTTTACCACTAGGCTACCCGACCGCCCCCAATAAATTAGAAACAGATTTTGACATGACTGTGATATGACTGAAATACGGAGCTGACTTAACAAGCTCACTCACAGACCTTACACAAATGTCAAATGAGATATGAAATACCTACAGAACACTTAGACATTCTCGAAATGTCAAAGGAAAGCAAATATTTGTGAACGGAGCAGGTAGAGTGCGGTGGCACACAGTCCGCTTCCCATGAATAATGCAGTTTTATTATCAGGGTATTACCAGTCTAAATTAAACAATGATACTGTATATATGACGCTGTCACGTCTCTTTATCACCACTCTCCGTCAACACGTGTGGTTATATTTATACCTTGACATATTTGTACACAAATCAGAGGTGGCAATCCCTTTGAAGATACACTGCATTATGTTTTACATGTCCTAACTTCAATATTTCAAGAAACGATTCGTTTTAATTCAGTGATTTATTGGAATGGAAATTCGGTCCATATGTACATCCTGCGTTCTGGTAGAATTGCACAGATGTAATAACTTAAGACGTAATTAAGATTTTAATATAAGTGCGAAGTATTGAATAGTTAAAGACTTGCTTTTCTTTATGATTGAACACCTTTCCATCAACTACACCAAACTGTTGACCAACAAGTATCAATATTGCTTGATAAATATAATTTTGCTTCTATTACCTTGAACTGCGATATTAGCATAAGCCAGATGACTTGATTACCAATCCAGATTAATTTATTGAATACAAGTATGTCTGAATCAAATTAAAATAATCTTTACATGGTCATTCCCCGCGCGATCTTTTACATACACAGAACGGCGGAGATGGTCTTTGCAGGGTGAGAGCAGTCCCTGTTGGCTTTTTGTGTCTCTCATTTGCAAACCGATTCATTTGGCCGATGTTCATTTCAAGCAAGTTTAGTCACAGGTAGTGAATTCACTGTTCCCTATCTATTAGGGGGCACAGGACACAGGTCGTTACAATTCGCTGTGCAGAGTTGCGTGCCTTTGGTGTGTCATAAACCTATGCTTTTTCAACATGACACTTCGTGAGGTTTACAAAAGTGGTAAACGTCTAAGACATGCATTACTTCAGGATTATCTTACAATTGAAAAGATAGAAGGTACCTGTCCTTACAAATATGTGTAACATGAAAAAATTTGCTAAAACAACGGCAATCAATGTGGTCGGACCAGACCTGCATTACACACCCAGTCTGACCCTGCCGGGCTGATATGGCTTGTCAATGGATTTTGAATGGGCGATCGATATCAGCCCGGGTGGAAAGAATATCAGCCCTCAGTGCGTCGTCTGCTCGGCTAGGTGTCCTGTGACATCGCATTCCAAACAAGATTATATGTATTGCATTCACTTGCAAATAAAACTATTGAACTAGGTACTAGCTTTTACGATAGAGAGGATAGCTACACGGACGCGGAAGGTTTTGTAAACAAATTGAAAAGCAAAACAAAGCAAGAACACGACATAAAAGAGATACGAGAGCCGGCAGAGATGGTACCCATCCATCGATGTTTTATTAATGGATACATTTTTCAATTTGATGTTATGGTGTACAGAAAGGTTAATATTATATGGCAGTTCATATACCCCCATCAGCCCTCTGATACAGGAGGACGTGTGTCGTACAAGGCTGACCTCGTTCCATTTATTTTGATTGGACAGCCGTGACCTCGGTCAAACCGGAACTACTTTATTGATTAAAAACAATAACGAGACGTCATTTATGTTCTAACATTTTACTTCAGCGAGACAGAACTTAAGGAATTTCATGAAAACGAGAGACATTTACAAACACAACATTTAACCAAACAGGAAAGTCCCAGATATGAAATTCGCTTGTCATGGAGCTAATACATACAACATATCATCGACCGATCTCTTATCTGTCAGCGTAATACCCTTGGATTTCACCACCTTAGTTAAACAACCTGATCCTGGGCCTTCCTCTTACATTAAGCTGCCACGTGGTGATATGACTAAAGTACTGTTCAAAACGGAGTCGGGCTGAGAAAACTCAGTCACAGACCTGTTCCTAACTCAAATTTCAAATGAGCCATTGAATACTTACAGAACACTTAGACATTCTTGAATATCAAGACAGGTAATTGTGACCGGACCTTGTACAGTGCAATGGCGCGCAATCAACTTCTTGGAAATAATGCACTTCCGGGTATAAGCGGGGTATAACTGGTCTAAAGTAAACAATGACACCGTGGACAAGAATAACGTTGACGTTTCTCCATGAACACGTGTGATTATATTTGTACCGTGATATATTTACTTGCGAGCCAGAATTATCTTCACAAGGTCATTTTCAAGGTGAGTGAGTGAGTGAGTTGGGTTTTTAACGCCGCTTTTAACAGTATTCCAGTTATATTGCGGCGTGTCAGCATAATGTGGGAGGAAAGCCCGAAGTGATGCATGTCTCAGACGTTTACCACTTCGGTGAAACCCACGAGCACGGGTATTGTGCTGACAAACCTAGACACATAATCGGGGCGAACCGGGATTCGACCCCACAACCATAGGTTTCTGGCGTACCCAAGGGACGCAACTCTGCACAGCGAATCGTGGTGCCTTAGACGACTGGGCCACCCGTATGGTGAGGTGATCTTACATGTGGAGGTTACAAGTGGGGGTGTTTTTGCAGGATGATAGGATAAGCTAAAAAAGACTACTTTCTCACATTTCGCCAATGTAATTTTTATATCTGTGCAAAGGTAGTGCGTACAATAATAGAGGTGCAGTTGACGTAGTCGAACAAGGCGCCATACTCGCCTTGATAACGATCATAGCTTTGTCAACATCATCCGGGCTTTGTAAAAGCGGTATTGCCAAAATATACCAATATTTTGAAGAGATGAAGGTTTATTTTACGTTACTTTGGCAACCATGTTAACTACAGCATGTTCATCCTTTGTCAGTAAAGATGATTTGTTTTTGGAAACGTCAAATCCATTCATCAGTATTTTTCATTCTTTACCATTTTGTTTTCATTTTCATGTTGTCTTAACTCCCTTGGCTTTACATCGGGAGTTCTTCACACATAAGTATAATTTTATTGACTAGGGATCATGGCAATTTCATTGATATATTTAAAAGTTATGTGATATTACTAAAATGCCGTCAGAACTGCGTTATTCCACTTCACTTACAAAGTTGTGTTCAGCACAAATCTCAGATGTACATTTCATTCAAATGGGCTATAGGTGCGCCAGGTGAATCTCCAACGGCATCATCCCAATCCCCTGATATTTCAGTCCAGAGAATCACACGCTTGTTTCCTTGTCGCAGGGTTTACTTTTTCTTACTTTTTTTCGGGCTGTCACAGGTATTTCCTTTCTGCATGTTGCACTTCGGCAATTTACCTTGCAATTGACCAATCAGGTGTACGTAGTAGTGTTCATTGCACCTCTGGAAGGCGTCATGCACGTAGTTGTATGTTAGGCTCCTGGTATTGGTACGACGAATGAGTTTATCGATGCGTTGCTTTTTTCCGGAGCAGTGTGACGTTGTGGTATGTTTTCGGACCGCCCCACATAGATGACGAATCCGCCCTGTTTGATTGTGTAGATTCCTTCGATCTTTCCTATTGGCCACATATTCCAGTGTAAGCCTTGAGTATTTAGAAGGTATTGGCAATTCGACCTTGTTGAAGGCTACAACAGAGAGCCGGAGACCTAATAACACTTAAAGTTCATGCCATATTTACTCACATTTACCCCTATTTACACAGGATTCCTCGTCATACCTCAAACTTAAACATGCCACTCGGATTTACACAAATCTTGTCACCACTTCCTTCAGTTAATAATAAGTAAAATGTACACGCACTTCTGCTGATAAGGAAAAAAACATGTGTACGCACCAAAGCTAATAGTGAGTAAAATGTAAACTATTCTTCAACAAATAATGAATGAGTTGGTGAGTGAGCGAGTTTGATTTTACGCCGCTTTTAGCAATATTCCAGCAATATCACGACGGGGACACCAGAAATGGGCTTCACACATTGTACCCATGTTGGGAATCAAACCCGGATTTTCGGCGTGACGAACGAACGCTTTAACCACTATTCTTCCCGACCGCCCCGAATAAATTAGAATCAGATTTTAACATGACTGTGATATGACTGAAATACGGAGCTGACTTAACAAGCTCACTCACAGACCTTACAAAAATGTTAAATGAGATATCGAATACTTACAGAACCGATTCATTCGGCCGATGTTCATTTCAAGCAAGTATAGTCATAGGTAGTGAATTCCTGTTCCCTATCTATTAGGGGGCACAGGATGACGTTACAATTCGCTGTGCAGAGTATCGTGCCTTTGGTGTCTCACGAACCTATGCTTTTTCAACATGATACATCGTGAGGTTTACAAAAGTGGTAAACGTCTAAGACATGCATTACTTCGGGATTTTCTTCCTCATTAAGCAGACTCATCGTGATTTGAAGATTGGTTCAGTTACATCATGCCATCTTCATAAAGACAGAAAAAAATGTTCAACGTGGCGCAGGCCATAGATGATTGCCCCGACAATGGATATCGCGTTGACCAATAATGGCTCACTATTTAGTACATGCGAGAGCTTCATTTCATTGCTTGAATTGACGAAGTATATTACGCCGAATGCATGCACTAAATTTATTCTTGTGAGCACATTTGTTCATAATTTACTCACGTAAGTAATTTTATTTATTTTTCATGATTTTGCGTAGAGTACAACAAATATGTATATATTATCAGTTATAAAGGCAATCGTGTTGGTAAATTTTCTGATGTCTCTCTAGATCTCCAGATCGAAGGTTGTTATCTTACAATTGAAAAGATAGAAGGTACCTGTCCTTATAAATATGTGTAACATGAAAATATTTGCTAAAACAACGGCAATCAATGTGGTCGGACCAGACCCATATTACACACCCAGTCGGAACTACTTTATTGATTATAAACAATAACGTGACGTCATTTATTTTCTAACATTTTCAGCGAGACAGAACTTAAGGAATTTCATGAAAACGAGAGACATTTACAAACACAAAATTTAACCAAACAGGAAAGTCCCAGATATGAAATTCGCTTGGCATGGAGCTAATACATACAACATATCATTGACTGATTTCTTATCTGTCAGCGTCATACCCTTGGATTTCACCACCCTAGTTAAACAACCTGATCCTGGGCCTTCCTCTCACATTAAGCTGCCACGTGGTGATATGACTAAAGTACTGTTCAAAACGGAGTCGGGCTGAGAAAGCTCACTCACAGACCTGTTTCTAACTCAAATTTCAAATGAGCCATTGAATACTTACAGAACACTTAGACATTCTTGAATATCAAGGCAGGTAATTGTGAACGGACCTTGTACAGTGCAATGGCGCGCAATCAACTTCTAGGAAATAATGCACTTCCGGGTATAAGCGGGGTATAACTGGTCTAAAGTAAACAATGACACCGTGGACAAGAATGACGTTGACGTTTCTCCATGAACACGTGTGATTATATTTGTACCGTGATATATTTACTTGCGAGCCAGAATTATCTTTACAAGGTCATTTTCAAGGTGAGTGAGTGAGTGAGTTGGGTTTTTAACGCCGCTTTTAACAGTATTCCAGTTATATTGCGGCGTGTCAGCATAATGTGGGAGGAAAGCCCGAAGTGATGCGGGTCTCAGACGTTTACCACTTCGGTGAAACCCACGAGCACGGGTATTGTGCTGACAAACCTAGACACATAATCGGGGCGAACCGGGATTCGACCCCACAACCATAGGTTTCTGGCGTACCCAAGGGACGCAACTCTGCACAGCGAATCGTGGTGCCTTAGACGACTGGGCCACCCGTATGGTGAGGTGATCTTACATGTGGAGGTTATATACAAGTGGGGGTGTTTTTGCAGGATGATAGGATAAGCTAAAAAAGACTACTTTCTCACATTTCGCCAATGTAATTTATATATCTGTGCAAAGGTAGTGCGTACAATAATAGAGGTGCAGTTGACGTAGTCGAACAAGGCGCCATACTCGCCTTGATAACGATCATAGCTTTGTCAACATCATCCGGGCTTTGTAAAAGCGGTATTGCCAAAATATACCAATATTTTGAAGAGATGAAGGTTTATTTTACGTTACTTTGGCAACCATGTTAACTACAGCATGTTCATCCTTTGTCAGTAAAGATGATTTGTTTTTGGAAACGTCAAATCCATTCATCAGTATTTTTCATTCTTTACCATTTTGTTTTCATTTTCATGTTGTCTTAACTCCCTTGGCTTTACATCGGGAGTTCTTCACACATAAGTATAATTTTATTGACTAGGGATCATGGCAATTTCATTGATATATTTAAAAGTTATGTGATATTACTAAAATGCCGTCAGAACTGCGTTATTCCACTTCACTTACAAAGTTGTGTTCAGCACAAATCTCAGATGTACATTTCATTCAAATTGGCTATAGGTGCGCCAGGTGAATCTCCAACGGCATCATCCCAATCCCCTGATATTTCAGTCCAGAGAATCACACGCTTGTTTCCTTGTCGCAGGGTTTACTTTTTCTTACTTTTTTTCGGGCTGTCACAGGTATTTCCTTTCTGCATGTTGCACTTCGGCAATTTACCTTGCAATTGACCAATCAGGTGTACGTAGTAGTGTTCATTGCACCTCTGGAAGGCGTCATGCACGTAGTTGTATGTTAGGCTCCTGGTATTGGTACGACGAATGAGTTTATCGATGCGTTGCTTTTTTCCGGAGCAGTGTGACGTTGTGGTATGTTTTCGGACCGCCCCACATAGATGACGAATCCGCCCTGTTTGATTGTGTAGATTCCTTCGATCTTTCCTATTGGCCACATATTCCAGTGTAAGCCTTGAGTATTTAGAAGGCATTGGCAATTCGACCTTGTTAAAGGCTACAACAGAGAGCCGGAGACCTAATAACACTTAAAGTTCATGCCATATTTACTCACATTTACCCCTATTTACACAGGATTCCTCGTCATACCTCAAACTTAAACATGTCACTCGGATTTACACAAATCTTGTCACCACTTCCTTCAGTTAATAATAAGTAAAATGTACACGCACTTCTGCTGATAAGGAAAAAACATGTGTACGCACCAAAGCTAATAGTGAGTAAAATGTAAACTATTCTTCAACAAATAATGAATGAGTTGGTGAGTGAGCGAGTTTGATTTTACGCCGCTTTTAGCAATATTCCAGCAATATCACGACGGGGACACCAGAAATGGGCTTCACACATTGTACCCATGTTGGGAATCAAACCCGGATTTTCGGCGTGACGAACGAACGCTTTAACCACTATTCTTCCCGACCGCCCCGAATAAATTAGAATCAGATTTTAACATGACTGTGATATGACTGAAATACGGAGCTGACTTAACAAGCTCACTCACAGACCTTACAAAAATGTTAAATGAGATATCGAATACTTACAGAACCGATTCATTCGGCCGATGTTCATTTCAAGCAAGTATAGTCATAGGTAGTGAATTCCTGTTCCCTATCTATTAGGGGGCACAGGATGACGTTACAATTCGCTGTGCAGAGTATCGTGCCTTTGGTGTCTCACGAACCTATGCTTTTTCAACATGATACATCGTGAGGTTTACAAAAGTGGTAAACGTCTAAGACATGCATTACTTCGGGATTTTCTTCCTCATTAAGCAGACTCATCGTGATTTGAAGATTGGTTCAGTTACATCATGCCATCTTCATAAAGACAGAAAAAAATGTTCAACGTGGCGCAGGCCATAGATGATTGCCCCGACAATGGATATCGCGTTGACCAATAATGGCTCACTATTTAGTACATGCGAGAGCTTCATTTCATTGCTTGAATTGACGAAGTATATTACGCCGAATGCATGCACTAAATTTATTCTTGTGAGCACATTTGTTCATAATTTACTCACGTAAGTAATTTTATTTATTTTTCATGATTTTGCGTTGAGTACAACAAATATGTATATATTATCAGTTATAAAGGCAATCGTGTTGGTAAATTTTCTGATGTCTCTCTAGATCTCCAGATCGAAGGTTGTTATCTTACAATTGAAAAGATAGAAGGTACCTGTCCTTATAAATATGTGTAACATGAAAATATTTGCTAAAACAACGGCAATCAATGTGGTCGGACCAGACCCATATTACACACCCAGTCGGAACTACTTTATTGATTATAAACAATAACGTGACGTCATTTATTTTCTAACATTTTCAGCGAGACAGAACTTAAGGAATTTCATGAAAACGAGAGACATTTACAAACACAAAATTTAACCAAACAGGAAGTCCCAGATATGAAATTCGCTTGGCATGGAGCTAATACATACAACATATCATTGACTGATTTCTTATCTGTCAGCGTCATACCCTTGGATTTCACCACCCTAGTTAAACAACCTGATCCTGGGCCTTCCTCTCACATTAAGCTGCCACGTGGTGATATGACTAAAGTACTGTTCAAAACGGAGTCGGGCTGAGAAAGCTCACTCACAGACCTGTTCCTAACTCAAATTTCAAATGAGCCATTGAATACTTACAGAACACTTAGACATTCTTGAATATCAAGGCAGGTAATTGTGAACGGACCTTGTACAGTGCAATGGCGCGCAATCAACTTCTAGGAAATAATGCACTTCCGGGTATAAGCGGGGTATAACTGGTCTAAAGTAAACAATGACACCGTGGACAAGAATGACGTTGACGTTTCTCCATGAACACGTGTGATTATATTTGTACCGTGATATATTTACTTGCGAGCCAGAATTATCTTTACAAGGTCATTTTCAAGGTGAGTGAGTGAGTTGGGTTTTTAACGCCGCTTTTAACAGTATTCCAGTTACATTGCGGCGTGTCTGCTCAATGTGGGAGGAAAGCCCGAAGTGATGCGGGTCTCAGACGTTTACCACTTCGGTGAAACCCACGAGCACCGTTATGGTGCTGACAAACCTAGACACGAAATCGGGGCGAACCGGGATTCGACCCCACAATCATAGGTTTCTGGCGTGCCCAAGGGACGCAACTCTGCACAGCGAATCGTGGTGCCTTGGACGACTGGACCACCCGTGCCCCCCGTTTTCTAGGTGATCTTACATGTACAGGTTATATACAAGTGGGGGTGTTTTTGCAGAATGATAGGATAAGCTAAAAGGGGACTACTTTCTCACATTTCGCCAATGTAATATTTTAGCAACTATGTTCTTAGATAGTGCGTACACTAATAGAGGTGCGGTTGACGTAGTCGTCCAAGGCGCCACAATTCACTGTGCAGAAAGGTGTCCCTTTGACGTGTTATGGTCGAGTGTTCGAATCCCATATTCGCCTTGATGACGATCTTAGCTTTGTCAACACGGTCGAGGGCTTTGTAAAAGCGGTATTGCCAAAATATACCAATATTTTGAAGAGATGAAGGTTTGTTGTACGTTACTTTGGTAACCATGTTAACTACAGCATGTTGATCCTTTCTCAGTAGAGATGATTTGTTTATTGAAACGTCGAATCCATTCATCAGTATTTTTCATTCTTTACCATTTTGTTATGTTCATGTTGTCTTTACTTCCTTGGCTTTAAAACGGGAGTTCTTCACATATAAATTTTATTTTATTGACTAGGGATCATGGAAATGGCATTGATATATTCGTTCAGAAATGAAAAAATATATGAGATATTACTAAATTGCCGTCAGAGCCGTGTTATTCCACTTTACATACAAAGTTGTGTTCAGCACAAATCTCAGATGTACATTCCATTCAAATGTGCTTTCAAATTAGCTATAGGTGCGCCAGGAGAATCTCCAACGGCATCATGACAATCCCCTGATATTTCAGTCCGGAGAATCACACATTTGTTTCCTTGTCACTGGGTTCACTTTCTCTTACATTGTTTTGGGTTGTCACAGGTATTTCCTTTCTGCATGTTGTACTCCGGCCATTTACCCTGCAATTGACCAATCATGTGTACGTAGCAGTGTTCATTGCACCTCTGGAAGGCGTCATGCACGTAGTTGTATGTAAGGCTCCAGGTATTGGTACGACGAATGAGTTTATCGATGCGTTGCTTTTTTCCGTAGCAGTGTGACTTCAGACGTTGTGGTATGTTTTCGGACCGCCCCACATAGATGACGAATCCGCCCTGTTTAATTGTATAGATTCCTTCGATCTTTCCTATTGGCCACATATTCCAGTGTAAGCCTTGAGTATTTAGAAGGTATTGGCAATTCAACCTTGTTGAAGGCTACAACAGAGAGCCGGAGACCTAATAACACTTAAAGTTCATGCCATATTTACTCACATTTACCCCTATTTACACAGGATTCCTCGTCATACCTCAAACTTAAACATGTCACTCGGATTTACACAAATCTTGTCACCACTTCCTTCAGTTAATAATAAGTAAAATGTACACGCACTTCTGCTGATAAGGAAAAAACATGTGTACGCACCAAAGCTAATAGTGAGTAAAATGTAAACTATTCTTCAACAAATAATGAATGAGTTGGTGAGTGAGCAAGTTTGATTTTACGCCGCTTTTAGCAATATTCCAACAAAATCACGGCGGTGACACCAGAAATGGGCTTCACACATTGTACCCATGTCGGGAATCAAACCCGGGTTTTCGGCGTGACGAGTGAACGCTTTTACCACTAGGCTACCTGACCGCCCCGAATAAATTAGAATCAGATTTTGACATGACTGTAATATGACTGAAATACGGAGCTGACTTAACAAGCTCACTCACAAACCTTACACAAATGTCAAATGAGATATCGAATACTTACAGAACACTTAGACATTCTCGAAATGTCACAGGAAAGCAAATAATTGTGAACGGAGCAGGTAGAGTGCGTTGGCACACAGTCCGCTTCCCAGAAATAATTCAGTTCTATTATCAGGGTATTACCAGTCTAAATTAAACAATGATACTGTATATATAACGCTGACACGTCTCTTTATCACCACTCTCCGTCAACACTTGTGGTTATATTTATACCTTGATATATTTGTACCCAAATCAGAAGTGGCTTCCCTTTGAAGATACACTGAATTATTTTTTTACATGTCCTAACTTCAATATTTTAAGAAACGAAACGTATTTCTTTTTGAAAGGTTACAGTTTAAATTAAGTGATTTACTTGAATGGAAATTCGGTCCATATGTACACCATGTGTTCTGGTAGAATTGCACAGATGTAATAACTTAAGATCAAATTAATTATTTTAATATAAGTACGAAGTATTAAATAGTTAAAGACTTGCTTTTCTTTATAATTGAACACCTTTCCATCAACTGCACTAAACTGAAGGTACCTGCCCTCATAAATATGCGTGACATGAAAATAATATTTGCTAAAACAACGGCAATCATTGTGGTCGGATGATGCCAGCAGGGCGGGACGGTGGGGTAGTTTAGTGGTTAAAGCGTTCGCTCGTCAAGCCGAAGACCCGGGTTCCCCACATGGGTACAATGTGTGAAGCCCATTCGTGTTGTCCCCCCGCCGTGATATTGATGACTATTGCTAAAAGCGGCGTAAAACCATACTCACTCAACTCACTAACAGGGCATGACTGATACATTGAACAGTAACGAAATTACATTCCACTCAGAAAACGGTACACATATCATTGATAATGAAGATGAAAACACTTGATGTCAAGAGAACATCGGGGGCACGGGTGGCCCAGTCGTCTAAGGCGCCGCGATTCGCTGTGCAGAGTTGCGTCCCTGGACACGCCAGAAACCTATAATTGTGGGTTCGAATCCCGGTTCGCCCCGATTATGTTTCTAGGTTTGTCAGCACTATACCCGTGCTCGTGGGTTTCACCGAAGTGGTAAACGTCTGAGACCTGCATCACTTCGGGCTTTCCTCCCACATTAAGGTGACACGCCGCGATATAACTGGAATACTGTTAAAAGCGGCGTTAAACCCAACTCACTCACTCACTCACTCACTCAAGAGAACATCATCCTTCCACGAATTATTAGTCAGCAGTTTTTTCAGTTATAGTATAATTGGTTGATCCCTTGGTGTTTGACTCTTGGGTCAGTCTGAGTCGAATTCACATATTCGTCTGTGATTGACGGGTAATCTCCAATATTTGCCCATCTTGTGTTTTAATGAATATGAGTACATCGCTGGTCCACGTACCTGGTATTTTACTCTCCAGTCCTAGCTGTAGAGCTGTGGCAGCGATGCTTGATCTGTCGTTAGTCAAATTGTCGTTGATGTATATTTTCCCTTCGACTGATTTGAGCTTGGATCGTTGCTTGACGAATTCCTTTTTGTTGCGCTAGGACAGGAACATGACAAGTATTGGCCTAGGTTTGCTGTCAGAGAAGAAGGCCGGACCACCTGACATGTGACCCTTCTCTTTTTCTCTCAGGTCAAGACTTTCCTCTATCTTTTCAGTCAAGTCCAGCACTAGGAAATCTGTATCCTCACCGTCCACGAAAGGGATACCAAAGATGCGGACGTTATTGCGTCTGTTATACTGTCTGATCTCAGCTTCAGCTTCAACTCGGCGATGGCATTTTCATTCGCTTTAATATGCTGAGGTCGATATCGTTCCAAATACAGGTGAACTGTCAGGTTTACTTCTGCGCGGTTGTTGGGAAAAGATGTTTCGTTCATAATAATAAATGTTTAAATTCTATATTCAAGTATGATTTTGATGGAAACTTCAACGTTATGAATTAGATAATCACCTGGGTATGACGGGATATTCCTAGGTATTGCGGGGTATTCGTGGATATTGCTGAGTAGTCCTGAGTATGAAGTGGTATCCTGGATATTACGGGGTATAAGGGGGTATTCCTGAATATTGCGGGGTATTCATGGACATTGTGGGATATTCCTGGATATTCCTGAGTATGAAGGGGTATTCCTGGGCATGACAGAGTATTCCTTGATTTTGCGGGGTATTCCTGGACATTGGGGGGAATTTCTGGGTATGACGGGGTATTCCTGTGTATAACGGGGTATTCCTGGATATTACGGGGTATTTATGGGTTTGACGGGATATTCCTGGATATTGCGGGGGTATTCCTGGGTATGACGAGGTATTCCTGAGTATTACGGGATATTCCTGGCTATTACGGGGTATTCCTGGCTATGACGGGGTATTCCCGGAGATAACGTGGTATTCCTGAGTATTGCGTGTTTTTTCACGGTAATTGCTGGGTATTCCTTAATATTGCAGGGTATTCTTGGGTATAACGTGATATTTCTGGGTACAACTTGGCTGTTATAGGGTCATGAGCACTGGTATGTCAGAAAAAATATTGTTGGAATAGGGCTGACAGTGGTGTTCAAGATTCATTTACTGATTGATTACTTATTAAATAAATATCTCAATGTTTTATGGCTGTTGATTCGCCAACGAGATGGAAGTCAAGCGATCAAACTTAGCTGCCTCTAAAAATGATTTACACGAACATGAGTGAGTGAGTTGGTGTAACGCCGCTGAGGACAAAATTTCAGTTATTTGACGATGTGACAGAAGGAAGACCGAAGTGATGCTGGTATTTTACGTTTACCACTTTGGTGAAACCAAAGAACACAGGTATGGGTGCTGACAGACCAGGAAACAAAATCAGGGCAAACTGGGATTCGAACCCACTGATTCCGACTGCCACTGCACAGGGCTCAGTACCTACCTTGGCTGCCACGAAGAGATTATCTTTACCCGCGAGGGAACACTGTAGGTCTGCTCGTCTGAGGCACTGCAGTGTGAAGAGTTGCATCCCTTGGGTATGCCCGACACCTTTGACCTTGTGTCAGCGTCATACCTGTGGATTTCACTTCTTATCAATGCCCAGACTTTGTAATAAGTAACTTGGGGGAAACTGAGAAAACTATCTGTGTAAGTTTCTTCCTTAGCTGATACAGGCAGTCGTGTTTCAAGGATGATAATTAATCACATTGGTCTTCAGCAACCCATGCTTTCGTGAGAGGCGACTAACGGGATCGGATGATCAGGTTCGCTGACTCGGTTGATGCATGTCGTCGTATCCCAACTGCATAGATCGATGCTCATGATGTCAATCACTGGAATTCCTGGTCCAGATTGATTATTTACAGTCCGCCGTCATATATGGCGTCAAACAACAAACATGATGTGAGAACTTATAAGTACAGTAGAACATGGAAAAGCGAGCTACAAGGGACCAGAGAAATCAGTTTGTTATATACGTTGTACGTTATACACGTTTTCGCTCGGAAACGTCCGCCATCTCGGCTAAATCAAAACACAATACACATACACGTTTATATACGCTTCCTCCCGCATCTACAGGTGATTCAGTTAATAAGTACCCAATGATACAACTTCTAAACATTTTGATCCAATTGTAGGATCAATGTTTGTTTTACAGACAAGATTGGTCCAAATTTCAAGATTAACATAATGCAAGTTTAACAAGAATCGTCACCAGTGACTATGTTGATTCGCCGCGATTGTGTTAATTCGCCGCTGAATGCGTACAGCCAATAGTGAGTGAGACTTGACACTGAGTGAGATTTCTCAGTTCGCTTTTCACGTCACTCTGATCTCCAATGTCATCTAATTATGTCAGAAACATTCCCACTGAGGTAAACAGACGAGAAAGGGTCCATATGGTATTTTGAACAGTGAAAAGAATGGCCAACAGTACATGACGATCAAGTGAGCGAGTGGGTTTTAACGCAGCTTTGCACAATATTCCAGCAATATCACGGCGGGGGAGACAAGAAAGGGCTTCACACATCGTAGCCATGTGGGTAATCGAACCAGTCATCCGTCCACTTAAATGGGGGGGGGGGGGGACCACGGCACGTGACAAGATAGGCCAATCAGGGCCGAGTATGGTGAACGGGTCGCCCGTGCAGCATGTGCAGATCAGCCTTGTCTTCCGTCCTGTGTGGTCGATCTGAACAAATGTTTAGTGTGTCGTCTGGCAGCCTTCCTTTTCAACACTTACATTCGGTGACAGGTGAAGAATGTTTGAATATACAACAAATGAAAATCCAACGTGTAAGTAAAAAAATGACTTTGTATTCCATTTTCATCACAGTTTTTGTTGAGTGTGTCACATTAGAGTCAGGCCAGCATGCCCGATCCAGAGGGAGAGAATTCGGGTGGCTCTGGGAACCCAAAAGAGTAAGCACTTTCGGGGCAGGTTTTAAAATGCAAGTTAAATACTCTGAGCAAATAACAATTTCTGCATACATTTTTTGGTCTATCTCCGTGAATCAAAGTCTGGATTCGAAACTTTCAAGGAGTATTTGACAGGAAATTGACAGAACTACTGTACGTGAACAAAACGCAGCTACTGATTTCCATACTTTGGTTTAGATAGCTTCTCAAATCATTGATGAATTTGCGCATTGTTTGACTTTAAAAGTACAGGAGGCTTATCTTTCATTTGCGAAGTTAAATAAGGAAGAGCTTTGTGCTCAATGTTTCCACGATGTTCTGTATTCCAAATCTGTTCAAGATCATTTACAAGTCACGTCGCCGTACAAGTGCAATAATGTTTGTCGCGACGTTAAACCCAATATCACCTCACCTCAGTAGATCGATCATAACGGAATATATATTTACATCATTTATTACATGAGCGTCAGCCCAAGTTCCAAAACTGGATGTATTACATATACAAATTACTTTCTTATGACGGCACGTCAGCCAAAGTAGACACACACACGCATATCAACCAACCCGACAGGGGCGTTGCTGCTCAATTAAAATTCCAACACTTCAAATCATCCCCGATCACGCAATCCTTCTCGTCAGAATTGTAATTATGCAAACACGAACATACAGAACTACTTTGGTAAATTATACATAATAATGGATAACAAAACTTATATTCAGTGTTGCTGACTAGCGAGACGAGCTACTTTACACGCCACTGATTTTTATACCCTTAACACACCCAAGCTAATTACCTCCTTAACCGCAAAGGAGAAAGCTGTTTCTCTCTTTTATTCATAACGCACCCAGCCGAGAGAAACTTCATTGACGTATGTCTTTATTTATGGGTGGCACGGGTGGCACGGGTGGCACAGT